TTCTGTGTAGTGTGTGTGTGTGTGTGTGTGTGTGTGTGTGTGTGTGTGTGTGTTCCTGCACATGTGTTTTGGTGTGACTTGCTATTGTCTGTCATATTATGTACGGCTGGATATCGCGAATATTGAATTTTTCGGTTTGTCTCTCTCACACCGCCATGCTCCGAAAAAAAGGAGACCCCGTGAGCTAGCTTCTGACGACTTGTCCCTTGTGACTTGCCCGGATTACACATGCCTTTTTGAAATGCAAAGCAAAGCAAACCAACCTCGATTACACGCACGGCATAAGCCCGTCGGCAGGTTTGGATATCGCCCGAGGAGAAGAGGAGAACAATCCAGCAAGACAGGGCAAGGCAACAGAACAGACATTCCGACGTGTCTTGCCACCCTCCTCGCCCTCATCGTCCTCTTCCTGTCCTGCTTCTTCGTCTTCATCATACTCCTTGTGCTCTTCATGTCCTTGTCCTGTTTCTTCGCCATCAACCACCCCCCCCCCTTCTTCCTCCTCTTATTCTTCTCCTTCCCCCCCACTTCATCTCACTCATCAAAATCAATGCTGCAACTCCAACGGCACCGGCCACTCCGTAAACCACTCACTCGGTGACTGACTGAGCAACATCCACGACAATCTTCCCCCTCGCCCGCCCCGTCTTGAGCTTCTCAAACGCCCTGGGCGCGTCCTCGAACCGCACCACCTCGTCCACCACGGCCCTCACCTTCCCCTGGGCCAACCACCCGCCCAGCTCGGCAAACTGCGCCGGCGTCGCCGCGTCGTTGGCCACCATCATCAAGTGGAACTTACGACGGCCGCCGCCCAGGAAGCCCGGCCACAGCATCTTCATGGCCGTCTGGAGCGTCGCGTGGAGGGACATGCCGGCGCCGACCTGGACGTATTTGGCCTTGGGGGTCGTGAAGTGGTGGGCTTGCCAGTAGAGGGCGTCGGAGGTGCCGACGTTGTCGACGATGAGGTCGAATTTTTCAGTCTCTGAGTGATCGCCTCCGGTTGTCGTAGTAGTATTCGTGTTGGTTGTAGTTTTGGGAGAAGTAGCCATCTTGCGCAAAACCCCCACGACATCCCCCTTTGTGTAGTCGACCACCTCGTCGGCACCGAGACTCTTGCACAACTCAACGTTCCTGCCCGAACACGTCGCGACGACGTGACACCCGAGGGCCTTTGCGATCTGGATGGACCAGACGCCCGTGCCGCCGCTGCCGCCGTTGACAAAGACCCTGGGTTTTTTATCACCGGAGCTGCTGCCACTCGCGAGGTGCTGGGCATTGACATTGGGCACAATGGCCTTGTACGCCGTGAGACCCGCGGTGCCGACGCACGCGGCGTCGCGGACGGCGACACCTTCCGGCACGAGGGCGAGCCCGCTGCGCGGCGCGAGCGTGTACTCAGCCAGGGTGCCGAACTGGGTCGGCTGGTCGAGACGGCCAAAGACCAACTGGCCGATCTTGAGATCGTCGGCGTGACCCGACGACGACGGAAACGACGACGAGGGTCGCGGAGGTGGCGGCAACGAGGACGGCGGACCCACGGCGACGACCCTCCCCGCGAAATCCAGCCCCGGCGAACTCGGCGTCTTGATCATCATCCGTCCCACCACGGGCATCTCGGCCAGCTTGTAGTCGACGGGGTTGACCGCCGCGGCGAGCACCTGGACCAGCACCTTGTCCTTGCCGAGGGTTTTGGCGTCGTGCGGTGGCAAGGGCGCCGCGTCGTTGAGGTGCAGGTTCTTTTCCAGCCCGTGGTGCGTCGACGTGAATTGCCAGGCGCGCATTGTTGCGGGGAGCGCCGCGGCGGTGGGAGGGAGCTCCGTGGGAGGAGCGGCGGTGACAGAACTCATCTTCTTCGTGTGTGTATGTACCTCGTCCTTGTTGACGGGGCTGGTCGAATACTGTGGCGGAGTCGATGAAAGATCTCTATCCTTCTCTCTTCGTCTGTTCCTGTGTGTGTTTGTGTGTGTGTCTCTCTCTGTATCCCGACTCGCTTCCGCCCGACCTAATCTATCACTATCGCTATCGCTATCGCTGCTGTGGTGTGGTGATAGTTCGTTGTTGAAGTGGCTGAGTGGGCATCTAACAACTTAGTATGTATACCTGGTACCTAGTACCTCGTACCTCGTACCGACAATGGCGATACGACGAATCAACCTTTATGTTTATATTGTCGTTGTCGTTGTCGTCGATATAGTAATTCGCGGTTTGTTTTTATTTTGATAAACTTGCTTCGAGGAGAAGATGGAGAAAAAAAATCATGTGCAAGTGCAAGTGCCTGTACAAGGACAGCCAGCGTCCGAGTATAATATCAAGTATCAACCAAGGCCATTTATTCGGTGGTGTGATGGTGGTGCGAAAAGTGCTCGGCGCCGTGTACAAGTAGCCAAGTGCATGTCCAAGTACATAATGCCAAACCATCAGGTGGTCGTTTTCGTGGACAAGAAACGTCATGTTGAAGCACGTCATCATGCATCCAAAGACTTACTTGGTATGTACTTGACTGCAGATTCAACATGTCGTCTACTTGTATCAACACGAGTTGAGAGACCCTCAGACGCCACGCTGGAAGCATTCCATTACCTGTACACTCCTTAATACCAGTATTTCCTCCTTCAATGCACCATAACCCTGTCCATATTCCCTCCTTTGGAAGAAACTATCTTGTAGCCTCCTGCCATGTCAAATCCATTCCGCCCACAGCATCGCCTCTACTCCAGAATGATCCCATACTACCTCAGGGCTGGTTCGTCTTCGCAAGCAAGGCGGCACATTCACCGACCCACAGATCAATCTCGGGTCTCTTCAGATACGTCTCGGTGTATTCCATGAGTTGTGGCATTTTTAGATAATCCCCCAGATCGATATCGTCCTTTCCCGTCGACGCATTAAACCGGTAGTACGAGGTCTTCCTGTCTGGAACTCGTTCGTTGCGCTGTCGCATGTTCCGATCAAAGTCACGGTGCTTGGCTTCGGTGTTGGTCACAAAGGCCACTGTCTTGGTGATGGTGTTGAAGAACCTCATAAGGCCGGATCCCGGGCGCTTCTTCTCGTCATACTCGGGATGCGTGGTCCCTAAGCTCACGATACACTTGATTTGGGGAGGCGGAGCATCGCGCAAGACAAGGTCATACCGATTGTCCCACGCCTGCACAATAGGGTTGTTGTTCAGGAGTCCACCGTCCCAGAAATTCAGTCCCTGGATGCTAGCCTCCTTGAGATAAGTGGGTGCGGCAGAAGTTGCGCGGGCTGCTTCTTTGATAGTGATGGCATTGAATTTGAGGTCGCTAGCCCCGTTGGACACCGGAAGCGGTGCAAATGGAGGGTCATAATTGCGCAGCAGGATGCTCTCTCCTCTATCGGCCAAAGTCGCACACATGAACCTAGCTCGACTTAGTCTCCGTTGCAGTCAATTGCGATGAGCTGGACTGAACAACTTACATCTGGCCTTTACTCGGTTTGACGAGCGCGGCGTCTCCCTTTCTGACTCGGTCATCATCGTCAAGAGGGAATTTCCCCACCACTGTGTCGATGGCCTGTTCAAGCGGCTTGTGAGAGAACTGTGATCGACCAGCGAGAGCTTTGAGCTTCAGCCAGATATCACCAATCCACTTCCCAATAGTCCCAAGGCTATTGAGACGGATCGATCCAAGCATTGGGCTGAAGACCTGCTCGGCCAAATCTTGGTATTGTGAAATCACATTGGTGCAGTTCATCTCGAGACGGAACAACATAAGGGCAATGAGTCCGCCAGTGCTTGTCCCTGCAGCAAGGTCGAAATAATCTACGGGCTTTCTTTCCTCTGGGTCAGTGGGTTCGCCCCTCGATCGTTTGGCCTCATTCTCAACGTCGCGGACGCGGTCCATCTAACCCCCGTAGAGTTAGCATCCTTGCTCTGTGTCTGAACTCTTCCTGTGTTTCTGAAATGGGTACCAAATAACATGACAAGCCAGACTCACAATTTTACTGAGAATCATCATTGACGATATCCCCTTCACACCACCACCGTCCAATGCCAAAATATTGTACGCCTCGGTGGAGCCGGATTTGGGGGGAGGAATCTTCGAAGGATCGCCTGTGAACGACATGCTGGCTGACTTTGATCGAGTGAGATGACTCGGTGACGAGGCGCGGGTCTGCGTTGGCAACGTGCAAGAAAATTTGGGTGTCGAAGACTGGGTCTTTAGCAGAGAGCTCAAACGAAGAACTCAGAAGGAGATGAAAACTTGGTGCCTGGGAGGAAGTGTGGTCCAAGCGCTCTCCAAGAGTTGGAAGTGGTTGCACAAACTGTTGCTCACGATGGAGGAATTGGGCACACGGCAAGATGCGCGGGAAATACCTTACGAGAAGGATGATGGCTAACAAACCCTTGGAACAGAGATGTGTGCTAGGTCTGAAGATGATGTTGCCTAGTACTGTCTAGAGATGCCATTCCACCTCGAGGAGAAGAGACTGTGATTAGGGTGCGGCAGCAAGTGGTGGTGGTGGCGGTGGTGACTTCCCCTTCCCAGCCGCAACTGGGGCTGCTGTTTCTCGTAAAACGTTAAACGATATCATTACCCACCAAAGCGTCTGGGTAGGTGCATGATTGACCCTCGAGAGCAGCAGGGGCCGCTGTCTGGCCGTCTGGCTGTCTGGCTGTCTGGCTGTCTGGCTGTCTGGCTGTCTGGCTGTCTGGCTGTCTGGCTGTCTGGCTGTCTGATGGCCTCGTCACTTGCTTCAGCCCTCAGCCTCACACCTCGTGTATGCAGAGCCTTTTTGTCCCAATACGAGCACACGTGCCTCGACGCCATCCGCCAATCAGTGGCTTGTTCAACCCTCCCAGCAACCAGATCACAAGGTGACAAGGTTTTACAAAAAGGTCTGATGAGAGCTTGAAGGGTTTCTCATCGGCCTTCCAGAAAGACTCCATCCGTCCGTCCCTGGAGCAATGCCTCAACATCGACTTGTCCACCGGCAAGGTATCTCTCGCTGACCCCTAAGTTGATTCGCTTCTTTAGCAACGCGTCCAACTCTGACCGCCATTGAGCGAGCTGTTCTTTGCTGATTGCAGCGTTGTCCTTTTCCTTTTTGATTCTTCCACCACCTCTTCCCCTCTTGCCCCTCTGACCCTGACTTTCAAACTCTTCACTGTCGTAGTCCACTCCCAACTCCTCTGCAGCAGATCGCAGCCAATCTTCTTTGCTGGATGTTTTCTCCTTGGCTTGGGTTGCCTCGGTGATCCTTTGAGCAAGTAGCACGTGTGGCTCGAGCCGTTGCATGAGTCGACCCTCTAGTTGAATTGTTTCTGGCGCCTCGTCACTCTTGTGCACTTCAGCAATCAATCTCCTCACCCCAGCCACCTCGTCGGGTGAGCAGAGCAAGATCGACTGCCCTGACATCTCTGCACGCGCAGTCCTTCCAGAACGATGGACATACATGTCCGCAGTACGGGGTACATGGTAATGAATGATCAGTTCAATTCCCTTAATGTCAAGTCCTCGAGCAGCAACATCTGTGGCTACCAGGATGTTGCTTTGTGCTGCAAATCTTTCCAAAGATCGTAGTCGTGACTTCTGAGGCATTGTCGAATGTAGGCCGACTGCAGGTTGCTTCAAGGTCTGAAGCAATGCTGTCACTCGCTTTACGGCCGAGATGCTGTTCGTGAATACCAAGGTTTTTTTGTTGGGATGTTGTATCAGCAAAGTATAGAGGAACAGATCCTTCTTCATGGCAGGACATTCCACGATTGATTCGGCGAGTGTGGCAGCCATTTGCGTAGTGGGATTCACATCCACGAATGTTGGCTTCTGTTCGCGAAAGGAGAGCTTTTGCAGCAGATACTCCATCGACTGCTGGTTGGTGAGGAGGTTGTTGTCGTTCTTCTTTCGACTCACTGACTTGAGCTTGCCTGTGAGTCTTTGATGTAGTCCCTTATGAAATGTGGCCGAGAACACCAGGGTTTGCCTGGTCGAACTCGGCGACTCTTCCGCCGCGTCATCCTGGTCCACTTCGTCGTCCACGATCATCCGATCAAGCGCATCGAGAATGCTCTCAACCTCTTTGAAGTGGCCTTCGCTCAACATTCGGTCAGCCTCATCAACCACCAAGAATCGTATCTTTTTCAACCTCTCTACTAACGCGTCAACGTCGTAGTCGGAAGAAGCATCATTCATGACTTCCCATAATCGTCCTGGTGTGGCCACCACAATATCGGCGTGTTCCAGCTGTCGATGTTGCTTATAGATGGAGAGTCCTCCGGTCACCGCGACAACCTTGGGGTGGTCTTCTAGGCCTATGCACAGCTCATTCAGGTGCCTGTTGAGCTGCAACGCGAGCTCTCGGGTCGGAGCAAGAATGAGCGCCAGGACAGAATCCTTGCTCTTCGCCGAGGTCTTCGACACCGTGTTGTCACTCGAAAGCCAATGCTCGAAAATGGGAATGCCAAATGCCAATGTCTTTCCGGAACCAGTTACAGCCTTGCCAATCACGTCGTGGCCTTGCATGATGGGCGGGATACTCGCGGCTTGTATGGGGGTAGGGCGAGCGAACCCAAGTCGGGAGAGCTGCGAAAGGCTTGTTGGAGATAAATCAAGGCCCTTCCATGCTGACACGTCGGTCTTGGGGTCTTCTAGGCTGTCGAGTAGAACATCAAACTTGACATTTGAAACAACGTCCTCCTCCTGTTTAGGCTTGGGTTTCGGTTTCTGCTTATCAAGGTCTTTGGCGCTCTTGGAAGACTGCAAGGTTTCCTTCGAAGAACTCGATGGCTGGACTGGTTTTGCGCTTCCTCCCTTAGTTTCTCCCCCGTCATCATCGAAACCCTCCCATTCCTCGTCGAGCTCTTTATTGTTGCTGCCCTCATCCACAGCTGCGCGTGATTTAGGGCGAAACATGACATGGTGATTGGTCTCGTCCCGGACAACTTCGACGTCTTCGATCTCCTCCAGACCAAAAAACCCCTCGGCGTCCTCTAGTCTCTTTGGCAGCGGGACTGTTTTCCATTTCAGAGCGTCGCCACGTATTGCTGGGCCGCTGTACGCTTGACCCTTGGTCGACTGCGACAATTTCCGTCTCTTATAGTCATGCTGGACATGTTGAGACGCGGATGGCCTCTTCTCCTTTGCTGATTTGGACATTGGGCTCCGCTGATCCGATTCGACGCAGAGGGCCTCGCAATAAGACTGAGAATTAAAGTCTGTAGTAGTGAAAAAAAGTTTTGGGTTGAGAAATTGCATTGTGTCTGACAACGAATATTGGTTATGGCCAATCAATACGGCCCACGGGATACTACGAGCTGTGGCGTGGGACATGAGACAGAATGGGTTTGTAGGTTAGTGTACCGCACCATCTCTGATCCACGGTACATAGTATATAAGATCTCGATATATCTCACAATGGAGATATGAACAGGAACACAACAACAAGTATTTGCACTTCAGTGACTGTCCAAAAATCCTCAGTCAGACCACGTTTTCTCAGCACAGGTCTTGGCGTGACCGATTTTACCCGAACCATCGAACCAGGATAGCATGACTTTTTCCAATATGCGATTTTATCCTCATTGCTAAAACAGCCATTCTCAGGACATCGTCACATTTCGCCTGGGATATCTGATCTATACAACGTCCTCAAGATGGCCCACGACACATGGCAGAGCCCCCTGGCGGCTCGCTACGCCAGTAAAGAAATGCTCACTTTGTTTTCACCTCGAACTCGAGCTACAACCTGGCGCCAACTCTGGATCTGGCTCGCCGAAGCAGAGAAAGAGCTGGGACTCGACATCCCGGACGAGGCCATTTCGCAGATGGAGGCTGCTAAAGTTATGACAGATGATGATTTTCAGGTCGCGGCTGTAGAGGAAAAGCGGCGACGACACGACGTTATGGCCCACGTTCACGCTTTCGGTCAGCGCGCACCTGCGGCCGCCGGGAAGATACATCTAGGAGCGACTTCTTGCTACGTGACAGATAACGCCGACTTGATATTCTTGAGGGATGGATTGTCAATCCTGTTGCCGAAGGTTGCAAAGTGTGTCAAGAAGCTGTCGGATTTTGCGCTGGAGCACAAAGCGTTACCTTGTCTGGGGTTTACCCATGGCCAACCTGCTCAACCCATCACTGTCGGTCGTCGGACTACGCAATGGATCGAGTCACTACTCATGGACCTGAGGAACCTTGAACGTGCCCGTGGAGATCTCGTCTTCCGTGGCGTCAAAGGCACCACCGGGACCCAGGCGTCCTTCCTTGAGTTATTCCACGGTGATCACAGCAAAGTGAAGCAGCTGGATTCATTGGTCACCAAGAAAGCCGGTTTCAGTAAGCGCTCCATTGTGTCGGTGCAGACCTATAACCGCAAGATTGATTTTGACATTGCCAATGTGTTGGCATCGTTCGGCACCACATGTGAGCACATCGGCACCGACTTGCGGCATTTGGCCATGTTGAAAGAAGTCGAAGAACCTTTTGAGAAGGATCAAATTGGGTCGTCTGCTATGGCCTATAAGCGCAACCCTATGCGCTCGGAACGCATGTGTTCTCTTGCTCGGAAACTGGTATCGCTTGCCTCTGGGTTCGGGCAAACGTACGCTCACCAATGGTTCGAAAGATCGTTGGACGACTCTGCAATCCGACGTATCGATATCCCTGAGATGTTTCTGATCGCCGACGCATTATGCATTCTGCTCGAAAACGTGTCTTCTGGCCTCGTGGTGTATCCACAGGTCATCAGCGCTCGGCTGCAGCAAGAGCTCCCCTTCATGGCCACCGAGACAATGATTATGCGCATGGTCGAAAAGGGCGCTAGCCGTCAAGAAACTCACGAATACATCCGAGTATTGTCTCATCAAGCCGCCGCGGTGGTGAAATTGGAAGGGCAAGCGAACGATCTTGTCGACCGCATCAAGAAGGAGAAGTTCTTTGAGCCTATTTGGAGCGAGTTGACGCCGGAAGACTTGCTCAACCCATCAAAGTTTGTCGGCAGGTCAGCAGAACAGGTTGATGAATTCGTCGAAGAGGCGGTTGAACCGGCCTTGCAGCCGTACAAGGACCAGATTCTGAGCAGTGGAGCCGCGGAAATCAATGTTTAAACTGAACAGGAGGAGGAGTTTGGTCAGGAAAAGCCATACCATCGTTTTTGCTCCCTGATGGCTTGCTTGTCATGATGTGGCACTGTGGCGGTGGAAGTCCCCAACTGTTGCGAGGGAAATGATAGGTAGCAATGGTGATGTCGGACACGTTGTAGGGGACAGACTCCAGAGCCTGTTCTCAGTCTGGCATCGTAGGGTTGATTTCGTCAAGTCATTTCTTGTATCATCTTCCACAGCCTCCGCTGCTTCTCCATCATCTGCTCGTGAGAGGTCTCCGTCGCGACCGAGTCCTCCTCAGCTGCGTCTGGCACACCCGATGTCCCTATCTTGCCCACACCGGCCAGAAACTCGTCGATTTTCTGCTTCATCTTGTCGCACTCGTCAATCTCTCTTTCCCCATCTTCCAGTATCCCTTGCAGCATTTCCTTGACGCTCTCTCGTGCCTGGTGTGGTCGGTAAATATTAATCACGACGTGGATGTTCAACAGGAGCTGCCGAATATCTTGCATCTTTTCATCGTGCTTGGTCGGGTCGAGAGATAGGATACTCGTGAGTTCGAGGAAGTTCAGCAACAGGGATTTCGTGAGGCGGCTGAGGAGTACGGCGTGGTTGAGATTTGGATCGTCTGGGTTGAACAGGAGTTGCTCCGTAGGCAACGATGAGGGTTTCGTCGGATCGGTGACTTGCTTCTGGCCAAAAGTCAAGTAGTACTCTGCCGAAGGCGGCGGAGGAGGTGGAGGCCGCAGGTATGCCAGGTGAAGGGGGAGCTTTTGCTTTGGTTGGTCGTCAGAGGAAGATGATTCGATTTTCTTCAGTTCCTCCTCGTTGGCGACTGTAAAGTGTCTCCAGAATGGCGGAGGAGCGGGGAATGGTGCCTCGGGCAGTTGCTGAGGTTGTTCTTGTTCTGCCATGATGATACAAAGGCCGCGTGGTATAGGAAAGAAGAGGTGAAGAGACCGCGCCGCTGATGAAGATCAACTCGTGGTTCGTAACTGGCCAATAAGGGCAGCCAATTTGCGGGGATCGCATACTGCGCTAATTAGTGCGTTGGAGGTTTCAACTCTCGTCATCTTAGAGCCTCCTCCTCTTTCCTTCCTTTCATTCAGATATTGGCATCGACATGGCCTATCTCTAATTGCCCGATAATCTGTTAACCACACAATCATGAGGCAGGGCAGGCTAGATGCGCCTGGAGTTGCAGGAGTCATTGGACGCTTCTGGCAACGGTCATACGCATCAGACTATGTTGGATTCGCTCTCCTTTTGACAGGATATGCTTCGGTGAGTACCAGCCTTTCGATTGAGTATCTTCAGCCGGCTTAGACATTTAGGCGCAAGTCTTCTTCGAACCAGTCCATCAGATGTTCCGTCTTGACAATCAAGCGAAACAGTACCCACACGCGCTGGTCGAACGGGTTTCTCCTGGAGAGAACATCCTGCTTGCCGGTGTCGGGCCGCTCGTCCTTCTCGTCATCTGGGCGGTTGTTATGCGACCAGGACTCCATCATGCACACGTCACGATCCTTGGACTCCTCATTAGTCTCTTCCTCACCGCGCTACTGACGGACATCATCAAGAACGCCATCGGCCGTCCACGTCCAGATCTGATTGCTCGCTGTAAGCCAGAAGCGGGCACACCTGAGCACGAGCTTGTCGGTGTCGCAGTGTGCACCGAGACGAATCCTCATACTCTCCACGACGGGTGGCGCAGTTTCCCAAGCGGCCACAGTAGCTGGGCATTCGCGGGACTCGGATATTTTGCTTTGTTCCTGGCAGGCCAACTACGTGTCTTTCGGCCGCATGCAGACCTATTCAGAATTTTGATCTTTCTGACTCCGTTGTCTGGGGCCGCACTGATTGCGATGTCACGATTGGCCGATTACAGACACGATGTCTATGATGTTACTTGTGGCAGTCTCTTGGGCATGGCAGTAGCCTATGTTACATATCGACGATACTTTCGTCCGCTCCGACATCCCAAATGTGACGAGCCCTACCCGAACAGGGCAGACTATGCTATGGCGAGAGCGGCGAAGGCAGCTAAAGCTAGGCCTAGAGATTTGGAACAACAGTTGGCTGACGAGTTTTCATTGAGTGACCATTCTGATGACGAGTCCCAAGCATATCTCTTGACAGAGTCGGTACCAGGGAGGACGAGGGAGAATGTCGAAACAGCAGAGCCACCTTAGTATGGTGTTTGTGAAGAAATACATATTGCTAATCCAAATGCGCTGTGTCATCTCGTTCGTAAGTTGTAGTCCTCGTTTCATTTGTTACCGCCGGTACAGTCAAGTTAATGAAGGCGTGATTTAGCAGAGATTCCTTGTCTTCTTGTGCGTAGTCTTAGTCTCTCCATCAAGCGACCCTGGATTTCCTCACTCCTTCACTCACTTCCAGCATCCCAATGCTTTCTGCCCGCAGTCCGCAGGTTCTCTACCGTTCCTCGGTGCTTTTTGCGGCTTCTTTTATTGAATGGTACATGGAATAATGCAACAAGAGCACTCAAAGTCGCCACAGTCGCAGGGGATGCACGGTTTCGTAGGTCCCTTGACGCCTTTCTTGATGCTGGAGGTAGAGGAAGTGGACGGAGGCATTGCGGTGTGACGGGGGTAAGGTTGGAGACTAGATCAATGTTAATTTCGAAGGTTAGGCGATGCGAGATATGTACCTTGCAGTTGTTTGAGCAGTTGCTGCAGTTAGAAATAGGTGGAAAGGCTTGAAAACAGTCAGGAGCGGTTGAGGCTCGTGAAATTGGCGTGTGAACTTGAGTTGAGATGGCCAGCCTTTCTTTCTTATGCGGCATGGCCGTCTGGGGTTTCCCCACTAAATAAAGTGAACCTAAGAGCCTGAAACACGCAAGCTGGGCTGTGCTTCAGCCAAGCTGTCAGGTACCTACCACCTGGATCGGCTCTTAGTGGGCCCGTGTGCTCTCTCGAATCGCGGTACCAAAACAACTTGGTTGTTCTGCCCACAAACAAGAAACCTGCTTTACATCCACGATGATGTTTTCGACAGCACCGCCCCTCCCCACGCATCCCGACCCAATTTTCAAGTATAGATAATCCCGGCCTGAATCCTTCAACAGCTGACGCCGCCATATTTACCAATTCAAAGTGGCCCTCAACCCAAGAAAGGGACGGGCTTCTCAAACTGGTACATGTATCTAGGTGTCGTCGTCCACGAGGACCAATGACAAGCGATTCGTCTCTTTTATCGACAGTCCTGGCCGACCACCCTGTACAGTGACCAGAACATCCGCACAGGACAGCGTCTTCCTCTGACACCGAAGTCCGTGCATCATACTGTGGATCGAGGCACTCGGCCAACAGGTGACGCGTTTGTAAAAACGATATGCAACGCCTTCCTAACGTTCCTTCACACCGGCTTCATCTATTTCCCCCTGTATCAGACACTTGACCTCTCACTTCCACAAAAATGATGCGTCTCATACTTGGTCTGCTCTTGGTGGGCGGTGTTGCTTCGTACACCACAGCATGTTTCTCCATCACTACGGTCGCAATACCCGAACAGACCACTGTCTTAGTTTCTTCTCCCACGCAAACTACTTTCAACGGCCCATTAATGCCCTCCAACCGCAACTATGGGTTGTTCGACCGCCCATTGCCTCTTCCTCTTTTTGACGGCAACGCTCTCCAGGTGGTAATCTGAAGGTGAATAGAATGGCTTCCTGGAAGAACTCTCACACAAGTCCCTCAGAATAGAGGACATTTCCGTCATAGCAAGACTTTCGGATGTTACAGTACATAACCACTTCGCAAGCCAACAGGAAAGCACGAGTTGACAAGGTCTCTCTGTCAATCTAAGAAGTGGCGCTCGAACTGACAAGTACAGACATGGTCATGCTGTTTGGCATCCCAGCCCACGTCTCTTTTCACCACAATGCCGTCGCTGGCGTTCACCCAGGACTGCAGATGCTCATCAGCGGCAGATCTAGGTCAGCCTTGGTAGATTGCCAAGCCACGATACACTCAGTCGTTGTTCCTTGAGCAGGATGATTTTCACATGCTTCGGCCTTCCGCAGGAGCCACCAATGACATATTACAGTGGGTCTGGTCCGGAACTGAGGAAAGGATACAACAAAACTGTGAACGGCACGAACGGTACCTGCATAATGACGTCCGCAGCTGTAATATTTACTCACTTCCATGCGGGACGGTTTCATTATATCTCAAGAAATCCATCCTCTCTTCTACTTACCGTCCTCGTCCCCGATCCGTAACAAGACATCGTCCCGAGCGGCTCTCATTAACCATGGCCTTCAGTCCTCTATTCTGGCTCTACGCCATACTTCAATGGGTTCTCGACAAGATATTTTCACCACACCCACCACCTCCGAATACACACCTCCGCCGTCCTAAAATTGCGGTTATTGGTGCCGGTCTCACCGGTGTCTCCGCAGCGGCTCACTGTGTTGGCCATGGATTTGAAGTAACTATCTTTGAAGCCGAAGATGAAAAGCATGTTGGCGGGATATGGACGCACGTAAACACGACTTCTGGTCTCCAAATCCACAGTGTCATGTATCGATTTCATCCTTCCGTTCAATGGACTGGAGGATATCCTCAGCAACACCAAATCGTCGATCAAGTCCGGCAGTTGTGGTACAGATATGAACTCAACCAAAGGACGATCTTCAATACAAAGGTCGAGAAAGTTTACAAAGACAAGGGAGGCCGCTGGATCGTCAACAATCCTGCGAATGGACGTTTTGATGGAATCATACCGGCAATTGGAACATGCGGTGCTCCAAAAATGGCTCACTTGCCTGGCCAAGAGACCTTCAAAGGAGACATTATCCACTCCTCGGCCCTCGATGGCAAAGACGCACAGGGAAAGAGTATCCTCATCGTTGGAGGCGGCGCGAGTGCTGTCGAAGCATTGGAGTGGGCTGTCAATACAGGAGCTGCGGAAATCAAAGTGCTGGCAAGATCTGACAAGTGGATCATTCCGAGGAACGCCCTGGTGGATGCACTTCTTGCCTTCAATATATTCGGTCAGGAGACACTGTTCTCGTGGATTCCCGAGAATCTGCTGCGCATTTTTTTCTACCGCGACCTCAGAGATATAGCACCAGCAGATCAAGGTCTTTTCACCGAGACTCCCATGGTAAATTCGGAGATCTTCAAGCAGATTCGTGCCGGCAAGGCAGCTTGGCTACGGGGGGATATTGAGGAGGTCCGCGAAAATGGCATCTTCTTCAATCAAAGGGCAAAGGGTGTTCCCAAAGGAGGACCCGGGCGGCATAAACTGATCGAGGGAGATATGATCATCATGGCGACTGGCTACAAGCGTCCAAGTCTTGACTTTTTGCCTGACGATGTCTTCGCCGATGGCTATCAACCTCCACGATGGTTTATACAATGCTTTCCTCCGACGGCTCCTTCAATCTGTGCGATCAATTCGACTTACGTGTCGGCTATCGGGTGAGTGAGGTCTGATCTGTCATAGGGCAATGGAGGCTAACTCGTCTTTCCAGAACTGTTGGCAATTATCATATCGGAATCTACACACGAATGCTGCTGATGTTCCTCGTCGACCCTCTGACAACTCCCCGGACTTGGTGGATGAAGCGATGGGTGGACTTTACCAGTGCGATCAAGTCGCTAGCTCCAACCAAAGCATTCGACTTCTTCACCTACTCTGAGCTGCTCTACTGGTTCTGCTTCATCACGCTGATCAACCCCTTTCGATGGAAGTGGGCGCTCTTCGTGTTCTTCGGGATTGGGAAGAACTTGCCTGCCAGGATTGTGCAGCAAGAGGACAAACTGAGGAATGGGTTGGGATTTGGCAAAGATGGCCACTATGAGTAGCGCTAGACTTGATCTTTGGGCTCTACAATATAGACCAATAGTACTAAGTGTGCCCGTCAGCGGTAGTCGTAAAAGACTTCAAGGCGGACGCCCTTGCTACCACGTCTTGGACACTTAACGCCGCCATTTTTGAGTACTCCCATCTGTTGATAAATATTAAGTACCAGTACTTAGTCCTAATAATCCTAGGATAACCCCTGCAGTCCGCAAACTCGGATAAGCAGGTAACCCTGGTGGACACCCAAATGGAGGCCTTCTGGTGTAAAGGTGGTTCTATATGATGGAATGACGTCAGGGATTTCCAGAATTTCCCTCGAGCCTGCCGAACCATCCACGTTCTTTCCTGGTTCAAATAAGTACTTCTTGTACTAATGCATCAATTGTGATATTAACACGACAAACCCTATGTAGTGCGTTTTGACTTCAGTTTTGTCGTACCATTTTCATCTCAAGCCAAGACCGTTCGCAGTCCTCAACCCGACCTAATAAGTTTTTGTCAGAAATAGTGGTACAGGCCAGGGTTACAAGAGCTCTTCCATTCCGCTGCAGTTCAACGCCTGCTATCATGGACGATCCGGGTAGGGCAGACTGATCAACCATTAAACAATGCCTCGAAAAGCTAACCAAACGTTCGAGAATACAGTGGCAGATATCCCTCGTATCATCGAAACACTTTGTACAGCTCCACCGCCTATCCAAAGGGCCGCAATTGAGACCTACTTCACACCGAGCGCATCCTTCACACACCCATTTTGTCGGACGGGGAGCTTTCCTGGGTCAATATGGCTCATAATAATGATTTACCGTTGGTATAAAATCCTCAGTCCCCGCATTGATGTTGCCGTTGACGGAGTTGGTACGTTCTGCCTACAATATAACAACATCTCTTTTAGAGCTGTACTAATGAGGACCAGCATACGACGAAAAACACCTGCGTCTATATGTCTCCATTCATCAGAACTTTAAGCTCTGGGTGGTCCCCTTCTACAATGCTCCAGTCAAACTCGTCACTGTCCTCCAGTTGACCACCGATCCTAGTCCAGTACCGCCTGAGCCTCAAGAGCCCATCACCATGACCGAACTCGACAGTGAGAGAGACGCGCCAGGCTCTGCTCGTGTCAAATTTCGCAAAGAGGCCGACAGCGACGAAGTCAAGTACTACATTCAGTCGCAGAACGACTTGTATCAGACTACAGAATTCATCAAATTCCTTGTGCCCTGGGGGATCGGGGTGTTTTTGGTTATTACCTGGCAGTTCTGCGCAACAGTGCTCTGTGTGATTGGTGCAAAGTCCTACGATTTCCTGCTCTGGGTGCCGCAGAAGCTCTACCGCCAGAACATTGAGGTTTTTGATAACGACGAGAAAGTACACCCACATCTTGGAGCCGATTGAACGGGTCAGGAATACGGAGATGCTACACTGTGTCAACAGGAGCTTTTTAAACACTAGTATTCGAAGGATGGGAAGTCAAATTCAGAGAGGCTCTCTACCTTACCATGATACCCCCAGCAGGATGCTGGTTGCTAGTTCTGGAGGAGGGCGGCGCTTTAGGGTTAGTACTTGCTCGAATTCGGGTTCCCTCATCGCCTGAGGCTAATAGCATCTACAAATGAGATTTGCCAAACTGGCGATATGCCTGAGCCCCAGGAGGACTGGTCGAACCTGAGACGACAACGTACTACTTCAGTGGTGAAGGATTGGCTACCAGTAGTAGTACTAGTATACCGCCTCAACGCGGAATGTAGGTGTCGTACATTACAAGTGCACTTTACGTCAAGTTATGATCATCACCGCACCTGCTTCTTGGGTTTTCACGCATAAAGAAGGTCTTGCAAGAGCGTCACTGTGTGTCCAATTCGAGTTGGGTGGCTAGCGTCGCCCTAGTGAGTTGAGGTCACCAGGCATACCGAGCATCTAGTACGGGCTGGACTCTCTCTGTGCCGCTGAGAACCCTTAAACAAGTCACGATTTTCGCCCAAAGAGGTAATCTGCACAGCTGGCTTTTCCGAGACCTCGATCACGTGATCTGCTCCAATCTGGAGCCCTGGACGTTGGCTTGCATTGTCGGCCACACATATAGGCAGCTACACCCATTTATGACTACTACACAGCCTCTGCGTCGGAATGGCTGTAATGTAATGTCCTCGTCCTCTTCCTTCGCATCTGATCTGTCCACATATATATACAAGGTGTGGAGGCTCCGTTGATAGTCGCAATACAGGTAAAATAGTATATGTAATATATAATTCGTATAGATCCATACTCCGAACTGTACTTGATCCCTTACTATTTTCGTTCAGGAAAGGGAGCGAGGCCACTTTACTCGGGCACGTGATAGACGCCCGGCTAAGTACAGGAGGAGCGTATTATGCTATAGCCTCTTGGGTCACCAAGGTCGAGGGTAGAAAAGTTTGGGCCCACGCTCAGATCGAAGGCGAGATATATGCAACTGCCGAAGTGATGATGGACTGTACATCGATATCCTGCTGGCGGTCACAGATAGAAGATCCCTACACAACCATTTTTAACAACAGAAATCCAGGCTCAGAGGGCTGGTGTAAGTTGCTTCGATGGTAACAATTCAGAACGCCGAGAAATTCGGCTCGGTGGTTTGATTATAATATCACAGCTGGATCAACCTAGGTCAGGATCTCCTCCTCGCTCATCAAGAACATGGAAGCTCCCCATGTCCCCCGGGAGTACGAAGCTGAGCAGGTTGTAACTACCTCGTGCCTTTGCGATTTTGAATGTGCTCAATTTCCTCCCTTGTCTACAAAGTCCGAGCCGTCGACGAAAAGACTCCACGGCATTGCATTTTGAATTACCTTAGTTAGAAGAGTCACACATAGAAGAAGATCGGACTACTTGTATCTCAATAGTTCTCCCTAACTTACCCAAAATAGAATGAATGACATTCTTAACGAAGGGGAAGACTCGTCAGCTTTCTTTCGTCGAGAATATATGTGCTCGTCTTCGAAGAGGGCTCGCTCGAAGTAAGGCTCTACTGTCCCTGCGTACAACTATCGTCCCGTCGTTTCCTCTAGCTCTTGCTACCAGCTCCTCTTGAAAATGGGCACACTCCTCTATCAGATTGGCGTAGGAGGTCTATTGTGATGTCCATTTCCTTGATGCCTTTGCCTTCTTGAGCCACTGGACCAACGTTGCCAATGTCGTATCCTTCGGCGCGGAATTTCTTCCGGTCCGTTTGGCGCGGGTGGGAAGCTCTGAGATACCATGGCTCCAAATATCGGTGCCTGAAATTTTACAACCTGGTACCCGGGTGGGGTTTCTCGGCGAGACGTCTGTGCACTTTTGACGGAGCCTTTGGCAGGCTGAGATATCTCAGGAAAAAGCGGCGAAGCGTGCTGAAGGACCGCATGTAAGATGCAATAAGAAGATTCGGCTCCGGCAATCTTGACTTTGATGAGCACCAGATCAGAATTCAAGAAAAAGTACCGAGGAGAATGAGGCCACTTACCCCATGCTTCGTCGCATTGTTGGGTCAATGTCTACCGCAAGCATCTGCCTGATCCATGGTTTCACGACCGAGGGAAGCTTGTCGGCCTTGGTCTCGAAATAGTTGTTCACAAACGCCGAGTTGTTGGGAGTGTTGATTGCGACCTTTGCCTCATAGGCGAGGATCCAAGCTATCATTTCTCGCGCGAAATGCAGACCATTCTCCCATCCTTCCTCGCACGAAGGCAGCGTCGTGTACGGGATTTCCATCGCCTCCCCAAGCGCTTTATGCCAGACGCCCAGGGCACAAACTTCCACGTCATTCAGTCTTCGCCATTCATAGTCGTTGACCCACCGGACGATCTCGGCGAGCCCATCACCTAGGGTATGTAGCATGTCTTCGTCGAGTATCTTCCCGGTAGCACGGTAGCGGGCGTGAAGATAGTTGATTCATTCAATCGCTTGTAGATCGCGATCCGACGTCACTGGATTGGTTTGAGTTTCCAAAAGGAGAATGTTGGTGTCGACCGCGCGCTTCGTGGCATTCTTGGGATTGTTTTGGCCGGTTGCCATGAAGAGTTTTGTCATTGTCGGGATCCCACCCGTCTACGAAACCCATGTCAGTACGCAATGGACGCCGATCACGGTGGCAGGACTCAAAAAAGACACCTTTAGTAAAGCGTATGTGCACAATCTGAATTTGCCGGTCCAATCATAAGTATTCATGCCGAATGATTGGGCAACGAAAGGCACTGATTTCGAAGTACATACGGAGTACGAAGCACTGTGGTGCCCTTCGTTACGTGGACGGATCCGCATTGATAATGGAGCGGGTTACGGAGTATTGTGATGTGCCTCTCTCGGCGTGGATTAGAATATCAGCTCGGTCATATTATCTGCTCGATTAGAATATCTCGGCATCCAATGTTCAGTGTAGTAGCCAAGTCCTCCACCCAGGACCTTCGTATCTCGAATACTTTGTGATAAATAGTAAATGCTTCCCGTCTTTGCCATATATTCCTGGATTACAAGCCTAAAGCAGATAGATCGCTCACTTGTGTTCCTGTGACGGTATGGCAAACCCCAAGTCATTTCCCGAAACTTTCCCTTCCCTCCTGTTCAAGGAGATTGCGATCTCTAACGATGACTCTCCCTGCCACCATCAGGGTTGCTTATGCAAAGTCGAAAATCAGCTTTGCCTTTGCGCGGCGGGTCTTTCCATGGAGGCATGCAGTTTGTATTTCCTTCCGAGGCTGGTTGGGATGTCGCGAGCCTTGCATCTAGTGTCAACCGACGCAACACATGCAGCGTCTGACCCACTTCTCAATCAGCTCTTCTCTGAGGTATTGGCAACACCAGAAGCCACTGTTTCTCGGGCACTTGAAATTGTCAAAGCAATTGCAACTCATTCATCTATCGTGAGCACGACGGTGATGCACGATCTAATGTACAGAGGACCGCCAACACCGGAAGAGGCCCACTTGTTGGATTCGAAGATTTTCCTTGGAATGCTGCTCTCCAAGGACAGCGACGAGGGAATAAAGAGCTTTTCGCAAAAGCGGCGTCCAGAGTTCAAGGGCACCATGGAGCAGGATTCGCCCACAGGTTGGCCTTGGTGGAAGGCGATTAACACCCTCACCGCAGGCAAAACATATTGAAAAGCGAAAAGAGACCAAGCTGTAGATACATGCAATCCCATCGCCCGCTGCCAAAGAGAAAGTTGATCTACCCAAATGGAGAGTCAGAAGGGTCGTCATTCTGCGGCTTGAAGCTATGCTTTGAAAAGGCCTTTGGAATGATAAGCGGGATTTCCTAGGTCGAATAAAGAGACCAAGACATGGGGTAATCAACGCGGAGAGATTCTCGAGATTGTCATACATCCTGGCGCCATCGGGTCTTTGCAGCACAAGAAGTTACCGTCTCAACGGGACAAAATTCGTGACATCAAGGAAGCCTCGAATGCAGCCTCAACCTCAGTCCGTCTGAATCCTGGTGCACGACCTAGGAGGACCAATCCGGAGAGCAATTCTAGTCATAGTCAGAACACGTAGAGGGAGCTTCGTCGAGCGGGCCACCGTCGGGCTACTCACGGTCGAAGAATTTCTGGACATCAAGGCTGTAACGAGGACATCGCTGGAATGTAGAATTATTAAAGTAATCTATCATCTGTCAGCCTATTTCCAGTCATCCAGTCCAATAGTGTGCATGTTATGGAAGGGGATACTGTACCAGTCTGAGGGTCTGGGTGTCCAAACATGGTGGTGTCTGAGATGTGGAATTCATCACTAGGATGGGAAGGTGTAGGAGTCGAAAGTAGAAGGTCGTGGACAGACCCTCCCGGTTGATGAGTCTTTGCGCTACTATCCATTCCGGATAGTGTATGCACCTGCTGGTAGGGCGCGGGGGTCTGTGTGCTGGTGTTGTTCAACGCTGGATATAAAGAAGACATATCTAGATCAACGCCTTTGTCTTTCAGATAGCCCTCGACGTCCCTACAATCAAACCACTGACCACCATAACCAAAAATTTCGAGATACCTCTCACGATCCTGGCCTGATGTGTTGTCGTCCTCGGGTTCAGCGGCTGGCAGAATGCCCAGCACTCGTCGGGGAAGTCTGGTATTTGAGGGTAACACGGGGTGTCCCGATTTATCGATAGTTGGAAAATGGGTTCCAGCGCCGCCAATGCTATAAAATGGAAGAGAACGAATCTCCAGGGGGTCATTGATCCCACCGTCAAGGAGCCTCCGAAAGTAAGGGGACATCTTTGCCTTGTCCTGTATGCAGGGAACCAATCTGAACATGCGATAAACTGCGGTTGGATCGGACCTTGGATCCTCAAACATCTGGAATGTGTGTTCCAGGCAAAAGCGCTGTAACCGTCGGGAGAAGGTTCTTTCCTGAAAGCAATAGCTGTACTTTGTATTTGACCCAAGTGCGGGAGGAATGGCTTGCTGAAGCGGAAAAGTACAGGGCGTTTCTACCACTTGCTCGTTCACGAAGCATGATTTTTGAGCTGAATGGGATCGTGCCTCATGGCTTTGCTTGCCCGGTATCTCGACGGACCCATTTGAATGTCCGTGGGATGGTCTGGCTCCAAGTCGGTAGCCAAATACAGGTTCCAGCGATGATACTGACAGTGCACCACTCTCATCATTGGCATGATTTATCGAGCTTTGGGATATTTTCAAGGACCTCGAACGTTGAGAGCGATAAGCGAGAAGATTTTCGATTTTGTTCATGTGCGTCACGAGGGTCGAATGGGTTGTGCTGAGCTCTGATTTGTGGATAATATCTTGAACGGCATCAAGGGCTTCGGCAACCTTGTCAATCTGGGATTCAAGCTCAGTTACACGTGCTCTCGTGCTTTGAAGAAGAGATTCTTTCTTCTGTCGGTACGTTTGCTGAGCACGTCGAAGCTGTCCCCGACGATCCTGTGCCAGACATCAGATTGCACCGTGGCAAAGGGTAATGTTCGTCAGTGTCCATACCGCTGATAGAACTGCTGCGCCAGGCTCATCAAGCCGAGCTCTACCGGTGCTCCTTCTCGCGGAGCGCAATGGGTGTTTTGACGTTCTTACTTTATCTGATTTTTCGACAATGTCTGACTTCTCTGCAGCATCCACGGCTGCTGTTGAAGAGAGTCTATCAAGGTTTAAGGCCAACCCGTCCTATAGTAGCCTTAACAGGTTAACCCAAAAGGACCTGTGGGGTTTGTTTATGGAATTTAAGGGTGTTGTTTGACAGGCTGGTCAGTGGCTACTCGTTCGCAAAAGATTGTAGTTGCAGCCGGTGACGAACAATGCTGTCTCAGATTCTCAGACTCCGTGTTGTCAAGCGCAAGCGCTGATTGGTCCTCTTGGCGCCGAAGCGCAAACCAATCAAATGAGGGTCATTTTATCTTTTCTAGCGCTACGCGTAAATGCCGTAGGCGCCGAGCTAGGGGTCTGAGAAGCTGAGATAAGAATAATGGACTCTGCGCTTATTGGTACGTCAGATCACGCAAGCTACAGTGCAGTCGGGAAAAAGTATCTCCGAGAGTCATCCGTAGTCCCAGCCCTAAAGTCATGTCTCTGAGGACAAGTTATCACGGACTAGAACAACAATCCTTGAGTAAAATCGATGGTGGCCGAATGCCAGGTCAGTCGACAAGGTTATCACCCTACGCACTCCCTCATGTCAGTCGACACTCGGAAAGGACAAGACAGTCGGCTACATTTTCCACTAAGAGTCTTTATGACGATCTGGGAACACGAACTGAGGAACGCTGGCGGTTAGATGTGAAAGCATCCATGCCATCGAGAACGCTGGGACCAGGGTTATCCTCTACTCATCTCTTCTCCAGAATGCAGCAAACCAGCAATACAGAACTGGACCTGTCCTCTTAGTTGTCCCGCTGTCATCTGGGCGAGGACTTGACCCGCCTGGGTTCCGTTTCGAGGCAGGCAGAGCTGGTAAAGATCGGACTTGGCTTTCTGAAGATTCACTTCCAGTGGTAACAACCTTCCGAAATGTACAGTAAGTGGCACTTATCACACGTTGGTGGCATACAAGTCACGTCCCAGCTTCGAAGAAAGACTTGTTCGGATCACGTAATGAGGCCGACAATCTCCGGTAGTCATGCTTGTTTGCCGAAGAACAGTGTAATTTGGAGAATGCCCTTCGGCGAGTTTTGAGAGAACCAGGCCTGTTTAGAGACAGAAGCCGAAGTCGGTTGGGCTGCTGTCCGACCAATAATGCAAACGCATACGTACTCCCCTGGCAACATGAGGCGCGATTACTCCCCGTCTCGACTGGGGGGAGAGGCGAACAGTTGATGCTTATCATGGCAAGTCGATATGTCGTTGACTAAGTTACCAAAAAGTGGCACTGGCGTGTAAGTATGATCGATGGGCAACATGAGAAAGGGTGGGCGAGCATCAAGATTTGAATCCAGCCCGGGAGGGATGCGTATAGAGCTTCTGTGAGAAAATGGAGGACTCAATCTTCCGTGGGTGAACTCCATGAGTTCAGAAGAGAGTTCTCGTGACGACGCAATCGGCCCGCCTGCACAATAGTACGTGGCCAGTTGTTCATCGCCCAAAATTGAGATTGCTCTCGTGTTTTGACTTGGTTCTTCATAGTTTCGGGCTCCCAGAACTCGAAACATTCTTCACCGGTCCGAGGAAGATCTTCCTGTCCATGTATTGCTCTTGCTGCAGATCGCTCTCCCCTCGATCGAGCCGAGGACTTAGTGAGACCTCAGTGCGTACCCACCTTGTTGCGACTGCTATCGCGACATCGTCTGCGTCCAGAGATGCGTCATACAACAATAAACACGCTGCCATAACCACATCGAGATGCTCCAAGATCTCCCTGCCCCTCCAATGAAGGGTCTCCTTGTCCACACCGGTGATCGAAGCTGTCAAGAAGTTCCATCTTTCAGATACTGTAGCGCATTGTTCCGGAAACATTTCTTGACAACGGCTGAGGACATTCTGGACCCAAGGTTGTAGAACATTTTCCAAAACGTTTCCATGCCCCAAGCGTTTGTCCATCAAGACCCTGACAACATCCTCAGCCATGACACTAGTAGTTCCTTCCCATATACTGCCGACAGCCGAGTCGCGCCACACCCGTGCGAGGTTCAAAGTCCCACCATTTTCGTTATTTTCGCAATATCCAACGCCTCCCAGGCTCTCCATGCAGGCGCGGATACCGGACACACTCTTGAGACAAACTTGGCCCTTGGCCAAGGGTGTGAGCAGTCGCAGCAACGCCGTGATAGCGACAGGATCATCTGGAATCAACGCTTGAGCATGAGTTCCTTGTACTCCAGTGGCCCAGCCTTGCTGGTCTGCACCTAGCAGAGCAACGCCAAAATAGGCCAAATGTACCGCTCCCCAGTACTTCACTGTCTCTCCAGCCATCCAGCCAAGGTGTTGAGCATTATCCTGTAAAAGACCACCACGGACCTTTCGCACCTTGGAATATGCCCGACACACAGCTAAGCCATGAGACCAGTAGCCCGCGTTGCGTACGGCGTTGTGCATTCTTGTTATATTGATCAAACCAGCGATTTCCCTGACTCCTTTTCCTTCTTCGCCAACCAACCAGGCACGCATTCCTCGGAGCTCCAGCTCAGCAGTAGGTAAAGCTTTCGTGCCTACCTTGTTCTTCAGTCGCTGAATGCGCACGCCGTTTAGTTCAGAGGCTGTTGACTCTGAGCTTGAGCTAATTCTGCGCCGAGTCGGCGCATAGAACATGCTGATTCCTTTTTCCGTACGAGCCAGCAGCATGGCCATATTAGAGTCGGTAGCACTACTAAACCATTTGAATCCGTCGACTCGCCAGGGTCCAAGAGGCATTCCATTGGCATCGCAATCTCTGTGGGATTCGGTATCCAAGGCCAACTCCTCCCCCGTCAGCTTTCTTGCCACGGTCTCGGTCCCGCTTACATCACTGCCGCCGCTCCGCTCCGTCATCCATTGGCCGCTTGTCCAAGCACGGTCTGGTTCATTCGAGGTAAGTCTGTTGAATGCTTCGGCAAGCACTTCCCCACGACCAGGCTGATCCCCATCGTCGTCCTTAAGATGCTTCGACAAGAGCGTCGCCGCTCCGTCAGTCATCGACATAGGGCACAGGGTCACTACAGAAGTCGTCGCCCAAACATGAACCTTTCCAAACTGATGCACTCGACGATTCCATGAAACGGGTCCGGGTGTATATGCGGTGGACACCAACCCCTCTTCAACACCAATTGCTTTCAGGGCTTTCCACCCACCAGTGGTCCAGAGCGGGTCTGATCGGTTTTCATCTCCGAACGTGTTGAGTGGGCGGAGTACAGGTTGATTGATTTCAGCGTCGACCGAGTGGCTGAGAACCGAGGGATGGATAGCCCTGCGCGACAAGTCATGGATGGAGCGCATTGCCGGCCCTGCATTACCAGGCAGATAGATGGACAGGATACGTGCGAACACTGCATCATCCGAGAGCCTCTTATGGTTGTTCCATTCGAAGTCATTTGCGTTTGGGAGACCACTCGAAGCCGAATACCGCGGTGGAAGGACTGGGAATGTCTGGAAAAACCCAGCTGTTGATGAGGAAGGCTGAAGTCGACTTTCTGCCATGTCTTGAGGCACAATTGTTCAAGATTAATTGATTGATCACGTTCAATCGGTCGACAAGTGTTGTCAACTAACCGGTGTGCCATAAGTGGGTTGGTAAAGGTTCAAAGAACGGAGAACCAGGGAGGGTAACGGACAGTCTCGGAGTCAGCACCTCGACGTAACGAAGCAATCCTGGTGTCAAGCCCGGCAGAGGGCTTGTGGGGGAACCGAGGAACTCCGAGCTTGGGGATCGCCCCAAGACAACCTGCGTACTCGGTACAGAGATTATTCTATGGCTTTCTGGTACGTGTGCCTCATCCGGAATCCAAGAACTCTACAGTTCGTGGGGAAGGGGGATCAGGGCGATCGAAGCGCTCGCGGCTTCTTCAGAGACTCATCGCAGTCTTCTCCAACCACAAGGCACCGCCAAGGGCTCTCCGCATTCCAAACTCCCCTGTAAGGTCGAACGAGGACCAAAGGATTCCTGATTGTGACAGTTGGCAGGGGCCAACCGGGGAGCCATCTAAGTGTACAGATCACGTGGGGTCACGTGTCGACTTGCGCTACTCCACCCCATCTTTTCTCGGTTGAAGAATGAGACCGCTCAATCTACCTCGAGAACAAACAAACGTGATCCGAAGACCACCATGGTTTCTACTTATCGTGTTAACCACACCTCTCCCTGATCCAAAGCTGTCGTGCTGGTGATTTCTCGTAAAATGTCAACGGCTTCCAAAATCAATGGAGCATGTATCATTTGCCGGAAACGAAAGGTCAAATGTGACCTGACACAGGTCGGCCAACCCTGCACAAATTGTCGGTCGGGCGAATACGATTGCGTGTAAGTCCATTTTATCTTAGGTTATTCCTGACTTATTCTCAAACACAAAAGCGCTAGCGGAGACTTTGGCCAGGTTGGCTATTTCTGCTTTGATTTTCTGGCACCCAGAATACGTTCCAATGACAGGACCCCTCTGATACTGATTGATCTGTGGCTAGACCGCACCGGAGAAAACGGAGGCGATATACCGTCACTGACTCCCCCGAGGACTCTGCCAATGTCACGCAGCAAGGTCAGGGAGCGGACCACAACGAATCTATGGGCCCTCCACGCTCGTCTCTGCCTGTGGTCGCGGGCTCGGAGCAGATTGCTATCGTCGTCGATGACTCTGATCAGCGCACCTCCCCTGTTTTCGGAGACTCCTCGACCACCGAGTACAGCTACGTTGGCCGAAGCGAATATCTCGGCGGCCAAATTCACTTTACGGAAGACCTGACTCGTCGTCCGTCTCGCTCTCGTCCCGATGTTTCACCGTATGACTCTGACCTCCATTTTCTTCAGATTCAGCATGCGCTGGAGTTGCCCCCGCGGCCGGTAAGAGCAGCTTTGGTCTCTGCCTTTATGGAGCGATGCCATCCATGGACACCCATCGTCGAGCGCAGGTGGGTCAATGAGCCCAATCATCGCCACGACTCCTTGTTGCTTCAGCAGTCCGTCTTTCTAGCGGGCAGCAGAGTCCTCAATAGTCCCTTGATGTATGCCTCATCTCAGGAGTACTATGCGAGAGCACGGACATTGTTCTTTCATGGCCATCCTCGCAACACGTTGTTGTCGATTGTCGCAACGTGCCTATTACAGTGGTGGAATCCTACAGGGCCGGAGACCATTTCAACAGACACGAGCAGTTTTTGGACTCGGATCGGTATCGAGCTCGCTCACCAGATGGGACTCCATCTTGAGCCTAAAGACCAGCCTCACAAGGGCTTCAGAAGGAGGCTATGGTGGACGCTTGTGGTAAGCTCACGCCCCCGCTCTGTTATGTTTATATGTTGACACAAAACATCATAGACCCGCGATAACATAGTCTCCGTCGGTGTTGGGCGTCCGCGGACGATAAACCTGGATGATTCGACTGTCAAAGCACCCTCGATCAATGACTTCCAGGTCGTCGACACCAATGCGCACCTCTTTGTTGCCCACGTCAGCATTTGTCGCCAAATGGGCGACCTCGCTGAGGCGCACCGGAGACGACTTCTCACTGATGTGCGAAGACAGTCATTTGAGAACTCTTTGTTCTGCTGGATCCATCAACTTCCACCGAGCTTGAAAGTATCTCACGAACAGCCGTTGAAAGTCTTGTCAGCTTATAGCCTCGAAAAGTTTCAACTGTACATCTGTTATTTCGTGTCCTTGTTGATTTTATACAAGGGTACAAGGGTTAACACGCCCGAGTCCACGGCGGCACTGATGGCAGCCTCTTTCGTCGCCGGGATGTTGGAAGAAATAATGGCCAGGGATGAGATTCGCTACCTTAGTCCAATCTTCCCATTCTACGCGCTTGCTGCCGGTCTGACCGGGTTGACAGGCTACCGCTATACCGATTTACGTACGAAGACTGAAGAGGACTTTGCTGTCATCAAGGCTGTCCTCGAACACCTAGGTCACCGATGGCAATCTGCTAACGGAGTGTCGTGTGCACTCTTGAGGGTGAGAGAGATGGTCCAGGGACAGTCTACGCTTGACTACGCGCCGGTGCCGCTAACGCCCAACTTGTGCCGCTTTTTCGAGGCTTTCAGTCCAGACCTCTGTCGTTGTTGGCATTTTCAGAGTACTCGGCCCACAGTGTCATCTTCTGATACCAATCGAGATTCGCAGGACAGTGTAAGGCTCCCACATATAATTCTCCCACGGGAGGAGCCAGTGGTGACCCAAAACCAGACCTTAATCTCAGACCAGGTTGACTTGCCGCGTCGCATACACGATGAGGATCTACCTCTATTCAATGATGCCGCTCTCGGAACCGATGCCGCGTGGTTATTCGATGACGCATTCTTCACTGAGAACTCGGTTCTGAGCTGATCGATAGGTTTCGCCAAGCAGAAACTTGATCTGAGAAGTGGAACGGGGTCTATAGATCTATAGATGCGGGCTACAATTTTGCACTGCTGGGCTCGGACTCCACGAATCGAAACTTCTCGAACCACGACAAGCTACCTGGGTTCTGCACCGTTGAGCTCGGGACCACCTTCTCTCCATTCAAGATCTTCTTAACAGCCGTTTCCACCTTCTTGCCGTTTACGGTGACTGGGATGTCTGGAGCTGCAAGGACAAATTTAGGAACGTGTCGCGGCGATAGACCTTCCCGGATGGCTGTTCTTATCTGCGTCCGCAGAGCTTCATCGAGGAGAATACCTGGTTTCATGACCAAGAACAAGAACACCTGCTCATCTGGATCATTCCGCCTGCGTCGGCCCACACAGAGACTGTTTGAAATGTAGTTCGTGAGGGGAGGCGCTTCAATGATGGCATAAATCTCGCCACTTCCAAATCGGATGCCCGAAGGGTCTGTAATTACTGTTAGAGAAGCAGTTCAGCTGACACGCAATAAAGAACAACATACTCAGAACGCCGTCACTTCTGCCATGCATAACGTAACCACCCGTTTGCGGATTTTGACTCAGCCAGTCATGCACAGCCCAGCAATCAATGTGCGGGAACCGCTCGAAATAGGCGGCCCTGTAGATCTTACCGCCGACATCACCCCAGAAGAAACAAGGCATACTGGGAAATGGCTTTCTAATCACCATCTCTCCGGCCTCTCCACTGGCAGCCTTGGACTCACCGGTGTCTGGATCTAGAATGTCCACATCCATCCCCAAGGCCGCAATCTGGATCTCTCCAACATACACTGGCGCGCAAGTGTCTAGTGCCAGAACAGATGTCGCTGTCTCTGTCCCGCCGGCGACATTGCATATCTGTACCGTCGGTGGCATGGATCGATAGAACCACCGGTATTGTTCTCCCGACAACGGAGCGCCAGTACAGTAGACGGTTTTCAGGCTGGAGAGATCAAATTCCAGCTTGGGAATAGTGTTTGATAGCTCAACCTCGAGCAATAAGCGCGGAGAGACTCCCAGGTATGTGACCCGATATTTCTCACATATACGGAAAAGCTGTTTGGCATCAGGGTATAATGGGCTGCCGTTGTAGACCAGAAGGGTTCCCCCTGCTGAGAGATGACTACACATTGTGTAAAACACCACCCAGGAAGTGCTGGAGTACTGTAAGATGACGTCTCGATAGGACAGGTTGTTGTGGACGACTGAAATTTTCTTGTGCTGCAGAATCAGGCCGTGTTGATGGACGATACATTTAGGAGCTCCGGTGGTACCCGACGAGTAACAAATCATCAAGGGATGATTGAATGGCACTCTTTCAAACCTCAGCTCGTCGGCAGGACTCGCTTTACTCCAAAAGTGGTCGATACTCGGCCAGTCGGGTTGGGAGTCCGCGATCGGGACGACATACACCGCAGGTCGTTCCTTCAAGCGAGAAACGATTGTCTTGAGTTTTTCTGCCGTCGACAACACCTTCCCCTTGTACAGGACGTGGCTGTCGACGAACAGTATCTTGGGCGTGACCTGGTCAAGTCTAGAAACGCAACCCTCGACGCCAATCTCGGGGCTGATCGAGGTAAAAATAGCCCCCATGGCTGCGGCTGCGTAGAATAGGGTGACAGCACATCCTGACGTTGCAACGATTGCTCCAACTCGATCGCCGGCTACGACACCGCTGCGCTTGAGGGCACTTACAGTCTTTCGGACGTCCTCCCGAAAGGTCTGCCATGTGACGTACCGCGCTGCTGCATTCTGATGGACAAAATGGTCCTCTCTGACCTCAATCAACGCCATGTCGTTGGATTGACGATCGGCGCAAAATATGTTCTCGCTATAGTTCAGACGAAGATCTGGGAAGAACCGTGGGATGCTGCTCATCGAACTTGTGTCTTCATATGCTTTCCGTGTCCCCCGGGGCAGGGCAGGGACCAGGTCTAGGTAAGTATACAGGTCGATCCAAAAGTCGTGCGGCTCAGTGGTCGACCAATGTTGCAGTTCTCTCGTATTTCTGAACTTCGTCTTGAACTTGTCATTGACATGATGCCTGTATTTCGCCAGCTCTGTTGTTTCTGGATTGTCGGGCCGCCAGACGACCTCTGGAGTTTCGATCTTTGAAGAAGCCATGGAAATCGGACTCTCATGCAATTGTGCTAGAAAGTTACCCTCGAAGATTTTGGCATTGAAGTTTAGGAAAAGGACGATTAAAAAGTTACTTCGGAAGCAGACGAGCAAAACACGAGTGCCGGAGATCTTCGGCCTACTACCAAGATGTCTGGTAGTATTTCTCCGCAGTTCAGATGAGCCCCGTGGAGAGGGTCCTGAACTCGTAACCGAACGGGGCCATTGCCGTTGGATTGGAGGTCAAGGCTCGGAAAGCTTCCCGGTCTTTTCACCTATGCCTACCCAGAAGGTTATGTGAATGTCTTTGCACTCACCATTTTCTGGCTACCGACCAGCCTTGTTTCGAAAGAAACACTCTATGTAGGTTCTCGGACGTCCCAACCCAGCTTCACATTCGACCAATTTCCTCCCCGTGTCTTGCCCAGGTCGATGGAAAAAGGGACCGTTAAGCACTCCCACATGCAGCAATTGGACGGGCACTGAGGGCCGTCCCGTTCGAGAGATATGCTTGACAATGAGCCGAGGATCGTGCTGCATGCGCCGCGTATTAAATACTCATGTGCTAAATTCCGAGGCTGCTTCGTCTCGGAGAACTTGTCATGACTCGGAGCGCCTCGGGGGGTAGTCAGACTATGTAGGATACGAAGAGTTGTACTGTCTTGTACTGACTGAGACAGTCACGTGCCTTTGCTCATCCAGATCTGTGACTCAATGGAGGAACATGGTGAGTATATCCTCGAGTAATTTACAGGGCCCTATCGGCGCTAGTCCAAAGGCCTTCGGCTGAAGACTAGCGTGACGTGACGGTCATTACATGGCCTCGGCGGCCCTGTCAGTCACAGATCTCGACGTGTCTTGGCGCAAGAATTATCACTAGGTCACGTGAAGGGTGTTTTCCATACTTTCTCGACTTGCCGTTATCAAGGAGTTTGTGGTTGCGACTTCAACCCACGATTCTCTCCATCTTCATCTGTGAGGATTATGCGCAATGTCTTCTCTCAATAATGTAGCTTACTCGGGCGAAAGCATTATTGAGATCCCCCCGTGCACCGCACTTCAGCCTTGTGGTTGAGCGGATTGCGCGCTGTTGTCCTCCTTCCCGCGAGTTATATGTGAGGCTGCGGTCGAACACCAATGCGACCCAGAACATGACAGCACAGCACATGCCATAGTAGAGCCTCGACCGCGGTCAAGAGCTCCTTCCGATCCATGCGATTGCATATAGCTCACTCCGGCCATTAACACAGTACACACTCGGACTCATATGCCGGACGAGGATGGGAGCTCGCACTTGTCAAGGCAATGCTCGACCATGCCCCTCCGAGCGCCTCCCGGGTCAGCGCGGCAGCTACACACCGAGACAGATTGGAAGACACAATGTGGTATCTGTTTGCATGTTTAAAACCTGCCATGGGGGATGATGAAGGTCTCAATCCTGATGAATCATGGCCGCCAGGGATATCAATGAAGGTCTTTCAAGGTATTATGCATTTCGTGAACATCGTGTACGGTACCACTTCTCAAGCCCACAGTCCGCGGTGCGTTTCAGTGGCATTACCTTTCGATCGTTGGTTGTAAACATGAGTTTCTGGGCCTGACAAGCGGGCGCCAAAGAAGCAGGTCCAGGGATTGAGAAAACCTTCTCCCCACAAAACTTGGCAATACTAATATCTATCACAAATGCGGGACGAGAAAAAAGGAGGCGATGCGAGATTGAGTGTCCAGAAAAGCTTAGATCGGCCCCACCAGAACAGCCTCACATCTGTACGAGGACTAGTTCCCAAACCACGACCCGCACCAACGTCCATGTTGGGGTGCATCGCCCTTTAGAAGGTCAGCGACGACTGCCAAACACCAGACGAATCGAAATTAAGTCATACTGGAGGCGTTGATGGCCCTGCTCTAGATACAATAAATGCTAAGACAAGTCCTCTTTAGGCGCCTACGAATACAAAGGCCGCCCGCTATGCTCGTACTCGTAAGTACTTAACAACAATCACATGCGTGATGCAGGCTGCGGTGATCAACCGTCATCCTTCGAGCACGAACGAACTCGTTGCGGACTACGACAGCAATATAATAACGGACTTAAATCCCGTTCCACTACCCTTCGTCCCCCCTCGACTACTCACAACTAAGTACTATCATTTCTCTTCCCACGCTCTTTTCCCTGCCTGCTTTGTGCTTGTTCTGTTCCTCCCTTGGTGGTGTCACTCATTGAACTTCCCATTCCCCACCTTTTCCGCTCGCTCTGTTACAGTCTGCTTCGATAATATCGCTCCAGAAAAGCGTCATCATGGTCACCTATAAAGTTCTTTCACTTTCACTCTTTGCTCTCGGCATCCAAGGTCTCGCCTTGGCTGATAGATTTGGAGGTCCTCCTGGTTTCCCCGGACAAGGCGGTCCCCCAGGCGGTCCTCCAGCTGGTCCCCCCGGCCGAGACGGTCCAGGAGGCCCGGGAGATGGTCCTGGGTATCCTGGACCAGGACATCCCGGTGGTAATCCTCCAGACTGGCCTGGATCTCCTGGTTTCCCGCAGCCTGGGCCCCCGGGCGGAGGGCAACCAGGATGGCCTCAGCCCAGCTTTCCGAGTTGGCCCAGCATCCCGGTTACCACTACCACTGTCGCTATTTCTTCGACAACAACCTCACCGTATGTTCTCCCATCACTTCCCTCGCATCAAGTTGGGCTCGGCATGTCGTTGCTTCTTCGACAAGTCGGGCTTAGACGGCATTACGGAGGCCGCTGGCGAGGTTTAGAAGTTTTGCCAGATTCACTGACGCAGCTTATATAGCCCGACAACGACTAGCACAAAATCTCCAACCACCTCTGCAAGCACTGCTACTACCACTTCCGGCGTAACCTCCACTTCGTCCTCGGTCTCGACGTCCTCACCCACGACAACAACTTCAACCGTTCCCACAACAACGCCTACAACTTTGTCGACTACGACCACACCAAGCACAACCACTACGACGACAACAACGACTACCACATCCACCATTCCTACTACGACTCCGATCACCACCACAACCACTACAACTACGACGACGACAATAACGACTACTACTACAACTACTACCACGACCCCTCCGCCGAATTGTCCTATTCCAACACTGCAAAATGGTGGATTCGAGTCCAGCAATACAAATATATCACCCTGGGTCTATAGTGGCTTCACTTCCGGGCTAGTGGACGAGGTTGACCAAGCAGGCACGGGCATCTTCATCCCCCGTTCCGGCAATAACTATTTGTACGTATTCACTACTCTCTCCATCCTCCTAACTCCCATTACATCCCAGGCTCTCGGGTGGCTGTGAATCTCGCGCTAACAAGCTCTGCATTCGTTTTGTCTCTCCAGTCAAGTAACCAACACGGGCACGTCGCCGTCAGAAGCGCGCATCGCCCAGTCGCCCACCTTCTGCAACGGAGTCGACTACACAATCTCGCTCTGGGCCATCGGCGACTGCAATAGCGCAGCCCAGTGTGCCGGCTTCTCAAGTGTCCGTGTCCAGATCGTCACCGACATCGGCTTCAGCACGGATTTCACCCTCTCCAATATCGGTCCCGCCGACTGGCAGGAGCTCACATACACGTTCACCTGGACCGCCGGAACTGGCCTTTCCCCAGTCCTGATCGACGTCTTTATGGACAACCAGAACGAATCGATCGGGCTGGACGATATTAGCATCTCGTTTGCTTGATCTAAGCAGGCAGGTAGGCAGGTTACTATGGTTGGGAACAGATGTTTTTGAGAGGGAAGGACATAGTCGACGGACGCTGTGGTATATAGTGAGTAGTGCTACTGTTAATCTAAATTTAATACACACGTTGTGTCACCGCTAAGTGCATTGTTCGCTTCGTCGAATCTCAGATGTCCTATTACTAAAGCAAACATTGCCCGAATGAATATCATTCTCCACAAGAGCCCCATTGACATACTCGACAAACTGTGCCCACACTTTTAACGGTCTGTAAGAAACGGCTCATCCGCAGACATGTTGTGTTTCAGACCCAGTCAAGACTTGGTCTCAAGTCCGCTCGCCTCTTCGACCACCCGCTTTTGTCAGGGAAGAGAGACTTGGCGATTAATCACCCCGAATGAGAGTTTCCGATTCACAAAGGCAATGGCAGATCTAATACAGGTTAAATAATAAGTATTATCTCCGCCATCATCGAGCGTGGAAGAGTGCCTGCTCCGAGCATGTAGACGCGCTTTTACTGCCTGTATTCCCGTGTGAGGCGAACCGAACCCCCCGAATTATCTGAACCATGCATGACACAGGCGGTGAATGCGGCCGTTCGAGTAAGAAAAGCGACAGAAGGAAGTGCAAATAGACTTGTGTCCCAGATGACGGTGTTACCCTCGCACAAGTAACCACAAGTTAAATTCCGAAGGGAAAGATGGGTGTCCTCCTTGACCGATTTAGGAAGGCTGCACGAATGGGGCATAACCGGCATTTTTACATAAGGTCACGTAAACACGAACACCAACGATTGTGTCACAATAGACCCACTGATCCAACGATCCAACGATCTAAGTGGGTCGCACGGATCAGATCGTCCGCCACCTGCACCTGCACCCGCGAGTGTGTGCTTGTGCTTTGTGATCTTTGTAATGAGACAATTGCTAGATTTTGGCGGGTATAGCGTTGGATGGAAGATGGAACATTGCACGCTGGCTCGGAGGGCCTGCCTTGCCTCGCGAGTAGTTCGCACCTCGCCATCTCCACCCACCATCAGCCACCAGGCTTCGCCTCAGCTCGAAGGAGCAGGCAGTCAGTGACCAATGATTATCTTCTCCGAAAGACCGATTAATGGTGGCAGTTTGGTCGACGAGGACACACCTGGCCGTACCATGCATGTCGGTCGATAGACTTTTCGTAGGGCTGACATGGACATGAGGCGTGGAAGTAATATTGTCGTAAGTAGCGGTTCGGACAGTGTCTGGATTCTGGAGTGGTGATATAAGAAGGCTCCGACGCGGCACTGTGTATCATGCTTCACTTTCCGTAGCAATTCAATAACGGGTACCGAGATCCGTTGCGTGCCCTGTGTACCTACCTTCCCTGCGTCGATTCTACCTCATCATACAAAGTCTCGTCATGTATTCCGCACCAGTTCTCGCTTCGGCGTCACTTCTTCTAGCATGTTTCTCCTCCGAAGTCTCTTCGAGAGCACTCAATTCCCGACAGGACGACACTCCCACTCTCGTCACGGGATGTGCAGCTGCTGACCTGACCCCGGATAACTGGAATACCAACAATCTGGATGCCTTGGTGACTGGCACCGCCGGCTTCGGTCAATGTAAGTGTATCAATCAACAATGTAGTTCACAAGCGGACCTACTCACAGAAAATCGCAGCTGCAAATTTCCCCCAGCAATTCATCGCGCAGTTCAGCGGGAACCAAGTCACCGGCTTTACGTGTACCGACTTCAACAATCCAGGGGCGTGCGCGATCCCTGCCAACGGAGATATCTGCGACAGTTTCTCAAACCCCCAAATTGGCTTTGTCGCCCAGGCTTGGATCAACTTGTACCAGAACCTGAGGAACATGTTCTTTGGCATCCAAGATGCTCACGACCAGTTGGTTTCAGAGGGCTATCTTGCCGCGATGGTCAACGACATCTCCCCCGAGCCTCTTCCGATATCGCGAGATACCCTGTTGAAGCTTGCAGACCTGTCCCTTTCATTCATACCGATTCCAGCCGCCGGTGCCGAAGTCGCCACGATCAGAACAGTGCTGAAAACATTCAAGAAGTTGGCGGGAAGGGTGGTCGACAAAGCCCAACAGGATGCCGAAGATGCCGCGCAGACCTTGCAAGACCAGCCTCAGATCCTGCAAGGCCTGCTCGACAATGCCGTCCCAAATGTCCAAGCCGCTATCATGGACCAGCTGAATGCCGTTTTCGTGGACGCCCAATCCGACGATTCCAGTGCCCAAATCCTCCTGGGTGGAGTGCAGCTCAACTCGGTCCCTAGTCAATCCGACTACGCGACCATCATGGCGCAGAACCTGCGCGCCTTCCTCCTGGCCGAGGCCATGAACAAGATCCAAATGTTACAGATCGTCGACAATCTCGTGGCAGTTTGTCAAAACAACCCCGAGGACACGCTGTCCGCCGACGGCTCCAAATGTCGCCGATTCGGTCTCCCGGAGGGTGGCGGGACGGTACCTACCGCCGTGACCATCGATCATCCGAGGGCGATGGGCGACCTTCAAAGCCGATTTGGGTTCTCGATCAAGGCCATCGCGGACAATACGCAGGAGTGTGCTGCGTCGGGCAAGGACTTCTCCAACGTCGACTTTGATGGGTTTTTGCAGAGTGATGCCTCAGGTGTCTATCCTACGTGCCTGTTTGGTGTGCCGTCTTTTAACGAGAACATCTGAGGACATGGCGGATGACACGGAGCAGATATGCGTTGTGTTGCTGTATTGTCGTCGTTTAGACACCGTCTTTGCTTTTCCCGCTGTTCAGGCTGCCTCGAATTGAATCAGGCATTTGGATAATCGCTGGCCACAGCTCACCATGAGTGGCTCGGAGACTGGGCGGACTTTTTACTTTCAACGCATGAAGGTGTTACGGTTCTCCTTGGGGAGTTGAGAAATGCTTGTCCAGAAACTGATATGACAGTATAGATTGGGGATAGTCTACAGCTCTGAACCCGCGGCATGAATTAGGTATCCGAGACTCCACGTATCTTGTTGGTTGTGATAGACATATAGATGTTTAGCAGTGAGTGATTCAACACTTGGGGTGACTTGTAGGTTTCCATCCAGACAAGGCCGAATGTGAATTGGCAGCCTCGCCACGAGTAGTTGCCAGGGTAACGCAGCCTTGCGTGTCAACCACTGACTCCCAAGCTCCTGCCTGCATGTCCAATCTTTCTTGAAGAACCACAGTCGAGAACGTAGGGCTTCCAGACCACACTGCGTTTGCGACAGTTCACCACTTTCGCAAAGCGCGGCTCGTCCGCAAGCCGCTGTCGTGCAAAGATCACCACAATCTTTTCCGAGTCTTGGCGTCCACAAAGTTGCGACCGTATTTGGGAGTGAGAAGCATCTCCACGACTCAGACCGCAGCACGATTCGCATATGCGCAGTTTCTACTCTCCCACCTGATGTCGAATTATACTCCATCTCATTTGGGAACCTTATGATATTATACAATTAACGAGACAATCAAACAACCTGATACGCAACATCTCGGTGTCATTGATGACGTACATCAACATTCCCTCCAGAGCAGACAAGCTCAAAGGTGATTTCGTATGAGATGGAATGCTCGACTAATCTGCTCCCCTTCCAGCTTGTCAGCCGCCATACTCACAAAGAATGGCTTTCGACCCACTCCAGTGGCTCCGGTCACTGCACGACACAATGTCAGACCCGACTCCTCGAGCCGGCCTTCACCCGATCCCCGGCACCAAACCGCTCACCTTTACAGGTGCTGTCCTCCCACCTCTGATTTACTACCTGGCACTCCTTCTTCTCGCTCCTCCTCCGCCGCCCGCGATCGACAGCCTGGTTGTCAGGAGGCTCCGGGACTGTCTCGCCCTGATCGCCGGGGTGCTGTTCTTTCGTCTGCCTCTTGTGTACCATGTCCCGCAGAGCATTGGCTTGACATACCAACTGGGCCTTGTCGGTCTGTATGGTGGATGCAGGGTCTTGGATGCGTTCTTCATAAGCCCATACTTCTTTGGACACATTCCGCGGAGGGTCAAATATCATCACAGCCGGCGCTTGGGCTCTCGGAGCCCGGTGTCGGAAGTCCAGGAGAAGGAATGGACAAATGGCGGAGTCACTGATCCTTTCCACCATGATGGTGATTCACAAGAGGATATCTCTCAAGATGCAGGTAGCGGCGATGTATCAGCACCGAAGACGCCTGTTCTAGCCTTTGCCATCCCTCCTAGCTCTGTCGTGAAGTCCGCTCTCCGTCGGTCCTTCTCAGGTCCAGACCCAGTTCCGGTCTTGGAGACAGCAACCACCGAGATTGGATGGCCCATAAGTCTTCTAGACCGTGCGGCGTGGGCTCTTGAGCTCGAACTCTCCATGCGTGGCATAGGCTTCACCTGGACGACTGCAGATGTGAGGCATACTCGCAAAACCTGGCTTCCTACCGTCCACAATCGCCTCCACAGTATATTTGTCCACGTCATGCCAGTTCTCCTCGTCAGCTGGGCTGTGATCAGAACCATCTATGTACGCTATCTAATGTCCACGCAGGACGCACCCTGGGACTTGTATTCCGCATATGACCTCTTCGACCACCGCATCCCTATAGGGCTCCAACTGCTGTTAACGGCTGCACTGGGAGCGTTCCTCATGGCGGCGTTCTCATGCGGCCATTCTCTCTTTGCCATCCTGCTCAATCCGCTCGCACCAAGCCCACTCGCCTTTTTCCCTCCGCTGTACACCACAAGACCGTGGCAAATCACCAGCGTCCGACAATTCTGGAGTTTCGGCTGGCACAGGCTCTTCGCGAGGCTGTTCTTGGTCTACGGCATATGGCCAGGCGAGAGGGTGGAGCGTAGACTCTTGAAGAAAGGCCCAGATTCACCAGCCGACATCGGAAAGGTCATTGGCGCCTTCTTGAGCTCTGCGTGCGTCCACGCCTTCTCAGTCCGCGGCGTCCTCGCTGGCGATTGGAGCATGGCGGTCGGCGAAGCCAAGTTCTTCGCCCTGAACGGTGTCGCGGTCGTGCTGGAAGGCGTGGTCGTGTGGGCTGTTCGGAGAGCCAGGAAAAGGAACGGCCGGCCGAGTCAGGTGTGGTACGACCCCGTCGTGGGAAGGGTCTGGTGGATCGCCGTGCTGTTGTGGACAGGTAGGAATTTTGCGAGAGGTTGGGTCAAGGCAGGCCTTGTGCGGGAGATGGCCTTTCTGTGACAGACGGATCTCGATATATAGCGAGTATTGTATCTCTCTCTGCCATCTATCTAGATTCTAGCCGGAGAACGTTGAATATATCTATCGCCTTTTGCATTCCTGCTCTCAAATAACTAGACAGGAGGCATATTTCCAGGGTCAAGCAAGGCTAAGATACGACGAGATGATGAGTGACCTACAGTGCGAGAAAGTATTACACATGATGTTCATCATCTACCCAACCAGCCCCATGCACGACTCATTCGATCCTGCAAAGACTCAACGACATTTTCACATCACACATACAGTATTCTCGCCGTGACGAACTGCCTCCGGTCGAGATTTCTCAGTTCAACCATGCGAGGATTTTAGCACCACTGGCCGTGAACGAGCGGGTACAAGGAGTATCATGACGCAGAAATCGGATGTTCTGGAAGTATCTTTAACATTTGTGAGATGGGACAGACTGCCAGGGTCGAATCGCATAGCATGGAAGAATCAGAGATACCATTGGTCAATGGTACCTTTCCATTACGTCGTCAAGTTGCTGTCTGTCAAGTATCATCACTGGCTTGCCATTCCCCGTAAGCCAGGACGAACAGTAGAGGGCGCAGAAAAACCGTCTCGTATCGAGAAATTGCAGCCACGCACTGGGTAGCAGGGCAACCATTGAGCGTCCGCCGGCGGTGGGTATCGCCGGCTGCTCCGGGCAGAGGAGGCGGAGCTGCTCGATCACGACGCCAGTGGACGAGACGAGAGACGCGACGCGAACCCCCATAGATGCCACGGCGCAGGGTTTCACGTCGGAACAAGATACCGCGACGAACCTGTCGAGATGGTGTGCCAGGGCCACTGTCCAAGTCGCTTTTCGCCCAGATGCCGCTGGCTCCAGGAACGGCAGGATTGAAGAGAGAGAGGGGAAGAAGGGGCCTGTAAACGGATCAGTCTGTCTATGTAGTGCTGCGAGAGAGCCGGTGGAGCCCAAACCGTCGTCTTCGACAAGTCCAGAAAGGAGAATAAGTGGGAGATCCGTTGCTAGCGGACTCTGGTTAATGGCAAGGCGTAGCGCTTTGCGTGTATCCTCTTCGGTCGTCCCTAGTAGCCGTTTAAAGTGATTGAATAAATGACCCGACTTGACCCTGTTCGTAGGTTAGCCCTAGGCCTGGTATACAGCGCAGAACACTCCTCTCACATCTTGAGGACGGTGTGTTGGGCGTTGCGACAATCGACTTTCTCCGCGAGCTTTAGCGGTCGTAGACGGCGGGTGCCGTTCGTAATACAGGGACGATCTGGACTGAAGGTGTAAGAACGGCCGAGATCGTACAGAGCAATGTAATGTGGCGACTCTGGCAGACCAAAACAGTCGGGCTTGACATCGCCGTGAGATATTCCAAGTTTTTGCAATGCCTTTAGCATCCGTATTCGGTCACCTAGGACGCCGAGATATCATCTCTTCTTGATTTTGGAGAGGTCGAGACACGCGCACTCAGCCTGTAGCGACTCGATATACGTTTGTGCACGCTGGTATGGAGGTGGAAGAAGAGGGCTGTCGACTATTCCGTAATACCGCAGGAAAAAGAATCGCTGAGAAGGCGGACAGGACTTGCGGATGCGTTCGTAAGCCCTTGTCTCCAGCACGAATGGGTGGCAATCATGCAGAACTTTTTGTATACTGGGCTTCGGGTGTGGTAAGCGTCCTGCTTGCGCTGCTGCGTCTTCATCGGTATACGGGGTATACTGGAGTGAATGTTGGTAGTGGAACACCTTTTGCCATCGAAGAAAAGGGCTACTAACCAGTTTGACGGCAAATGCCCCAAGATCCGACACCGCAAGCCATACTTGGGCCGATGCGCCTAGTGGTGGATCATTCAAGGGACGGATCAACCTCAACGTAGATTGAAAGCGGAGAGGAGCTTCTTCATCAGAGACCCAAGCTCTGTATGTTTCTCTGGGGATGTCGGTGCCATCAAAGAATTCCTCCTCCCAGTGATCAAGGGGCGCAGCCTTATTGATTGGGGGTACTGGTGGCGGTGAGGGGAAAGAATCCCCCGGTTCGGGATGGTGTGATGGCATGTCAAGCGAATAAAAAATCAAGTTTCTGGCTTTGGAGGGAACTGAGACATGTTGAACATAGCCGTGATGTTGATGAGGTACAATCGTAGAACGAGGTATCTTTGACAGATTTGAGAAACGCTTCATGTGGCCTTTCATCTGATTTGCAGGGGTGACCCTGTCATCCCAACTAGCTCCCCGCTGGTGCCTGTGCCTACCAGGCACTTAGATGTAAGCTTAAAGTATCCCAGTGCTTGTTTGTAGGCTTAGTGGCTGTACGAGAACCGAGTACACCAGGCCATATACTGGACCACCCCTGGTGCCGATACCTGCCATCTGTGAAGCACATCCTCTAGGTATAGAGAAATGTCATTTCTATCTGCCTAGTTAGATGATATACCTCTACAGAGATACTGCCAACAAAAACAATCGACAGCCACGATTCCTACCTGGTCACCCACGGTGGTACTAAGTGGCCGGCACCAGGCTTAAGTACGGCTGAGCAAACGGGAAGCCCTGTTCTCCTGATCCTATGGTCGATTGTGGAAGAATCTGTGTGATTATAAGTTATATTGTTGTTAATTGCTCTATGGAGTGCTGCTTCATGGGGAGGTCGATAGTGTTGTTGAATTTCGGAGCATCAGGCTTGGCACGCACATTTAAGCGAATGTAATACGAGGACATGGACGACGACGGTGATTCTTAACCGTGTCCGAAAACGAATCAACTCCGCATCTAACAACACTTCTCCATCTTTGCCAAGTGTCTATATCAAATCGCCTGTCTACCCAAATAGGAATGCCGAGACCAGGCCATGGACTCGTACCTTTGTCTTTTGTCCGTCTCGGTCGGTCGGACAGCCGCCCTTGATTCTGAGCACGACAGAGATCCCGTGCAGCTATGTTGCCTGTGTCGATTTGCCTCGGCTTCGTCAAGTTATTCACCGTGTATTAGTGTTTAGGCGACCTCTGGTACAACCGCTTTGGGACGCGGTTTTATTCCTCCGTGGTGGCTCCAACTAACCAGCCGAGTTTCCGCCCACACCTGCCACACAGACGCCCAGCCAATATGGTCCTGGATCGGAACCGGGGTGCCTGTTGTCTGCTTTGGGGTCTGGGGTTGGTGTTCGCGTGGCAATGTCCCAACTGGTACTGTATGGCCATGACCCCAGAATCCCGGGGATGATGGAGAGTCACCAGCTTCGTCTCCACCATCATGAACTCGAGACCGCTATTTGTCGCCGGTTGCCTGCACGCGGGATTCTACCTCCATTTGCCCAATGCGGCTAGGCCTAGAGAAACTCTTCCAGAGTCCTTCGCCTTTTGCCCTCGCCCTTATATATCAAGACATCGTGGAAGACTACATTCCGTCTGTTTCTCTCTCACCTGTGGTATAGGATCTCTTCAAGTATCAAGCTATCCACATCACCATGGCTTTTGGGTCCGATGCTCCATTCAAATGGCGAAACTTCTGGGCTTGTTTGGCCATTGCCACAGGCCAGATTGCCTGGGGTTACCCTTCAGAAATCATCGGCCCAACCCTTGGAATCCCGGCTTTCCTGAAGTACATGGGACTGGAGGACCCCAGGACCGCCGGTGATCTCATTGGAGCCACAAATGGTGTCTATCAGGTACGGAATCCTGCTTTCTAACGGAATCTATCCAATCTGATATCGCATAGGCTGGTGCCTTCTTCGGCATCATCGCCAATCTCTTCGTCATGGAGAGATGGGGGCGCAAGGCTGGCGTCGTGGCCGCGTCCGTTGTGTCAATCTTTGGCTCTACCCTGGTTGCTGCGGCTCAGAATATTGCCATGTTCATCGTGTTTCGATTCTTCGCCGGTGCTGGCGCGTATGCGCTCTGTGTCGTTTGTACGTTTCCCTGTTTTGTCTGCCATTGAATGGACACATACTGATATCTACAACCAGTACCTATCTATACTGCTGAGATCGCTGCACCCGAATTGCGAGGTCTCTTTGTTGGACTGAACGGCGTCATGTGCGGCTTTGGATACTCCATTGCCGCGTACATGGGCCTGGCGTTCTCATATTCCAGCAACGAGACCGTGCAGTGGCGTGCACCTCTTGCCCTGGCCGTCCCGTGGCCGATCTTGATGCTCGTACTTGTTTACTACCTCCCCGAGTCCCCTCGATACCTCCTTCTGAAAAATAGAAACGAGGAGGCCTGGAAAGTCGTGTCCTCGCTCCACTCGACCAAAAACGATGCCGACCAGGTGTTTGCCCGGGAGGAATTCTATCAGATGCAGAAACAAACCGAGTTGGATCGGACGATCGGCTCATCCTGGTTGAAGTTGTTCACCAAACCGTCAAACCAAAAGAGGCTGATGGTTGGCATGGGCTTTGCCTTTGTCGGCCAGAGCACAGGCGATCTGGTCATTAACAACTATGTACGAACCATTTCCCTTGTCATTCGTTAGTCCAGTGGTGATGTTGACTTTGACGAAAGGGCCCGACCTTTTACAGTGCCTTGGGCTTTAACCCCAAGGATCAACTCATCCTACAGGCTGCGTGGGTTTCCGGTAGGGTTTTCCACTTTCTCTGCTCTGAATTGGTCTGTGGTGCTGATTCGTTCTCTCACAGTTAGTATCTTTGGGAATCTTGTCGGGGCACTTTTGCTCGATCGTGTTGGGCGACGACCGATTATGCTCTTTGCTGTCGGAGCTTGTGTCATCTGTTTGAGCATCGAGGCTGCCATGGTCGCAGAGTATGCTACCTTCCACGATGGCAGAACCAGCGGAGGCAGCAACAAGGCGGGGTTGAGTGCTGGTGTGTTTGCTCTGTTCTTGTTTGAGGCCGTCTACACCTCCGGCATCGACGTTGCGGGCTTTGTTTTCTTTGCAGAAATCTGGCCCAACCATGATCGAGTCCGCGGCGTTGCTCTGTCATGGCTTGTTTTCGTCCTCACAGACTTGGTCTACCTTCAAGTCACGGCCACGGCGTTTGCACATATCGGCTGGAGGTACTTTCTGGTAAGATTCCCATTCCCGCGCTTGTCCCCACGTTTCACCATTCGTGAAAAAGTGCTAATCATCCCACAGGTCTTCATCGTCGTCAGTGCCGTCGGGTGGGTCTGGATGTGGTTCTGCATCCCTGAAACCAGGGGTCGACCCCTCGAGGAAATGGCTGAGCTATTTGGTGACAAGGACGAGGTCATGGTGTACCTTCGGGACCTACACATTGATGAAGAGACTCACGAGGTCGTGGAGGATGGCCCACGTAAGGTTGCACAGGTTGAAGGCGAGGCCAAGAACATTGAGCACGTCCATGTTTGAGGGACTCTCCGGTGCAAAGTGGTTCGTTCCAGAGCGGCCTGCAAGGCATGCTCATGTTAGTGGCTGGTTCGGGAGGCAGCCAACTGGCTTCATGGACTTTGATACGCTCCACAAGCCGTCGAGATGACATTGTCAGTTCTGGCGTGAATTTACGGACGGGACGTGGATGTGAAAAGGAGATAGTAGAAGAACAGAGTGTCCATGTCGTGCGTTGATCTCACGGTGTCAGTCCTTGACTTTCAATAGCACCGTTATCACATTGAATGAGTGTGTCCTCTTGTGAGGCTTGTCACATCTGATCATCACTTCTATTTTCTTGGGAGACTCTGCTAGTCTGCTACAGAGCATGAAAATACGGAGAGGGTTAGCGCTGAAGGTCTCAATGCGAGTATTCGACGGAGTTCAAAATTGGGAGCTGCTATTGAAAACAACCCCAGATTTCCACTGCTACGTAGACTACCATAGTTACGGACACACGGTCAAATTTGCAGCTATTCTTCCCTCACGGTAGGAACCCAGTCTACGCAGTCCAGCCTCCGTCAACTTTGTACGTTGATCCAGTGACGAAACTGGCGTCGTCGCTCAACAGAAACGCCACCACCGTGGCCACCTCCATGGGATCTGCCTGACGGTCGATGGCCTGTTGTTTTGTCACGACGGTCCCACGCCTGTGACCGTCCTCCATCGCCTTGACGAGAGCGGTTCGAATGACACCTGTTATCCCGGGGTCAGCGTGTCTGTTTCCAGGTCGGTAACCACAAAGGAAGAAATTACCTGGAGCCACCGTGTTGACCCGGATGTTGTGAGACCCATACTCCCTCGCGGCGGTCCGTGTCAGGCCGATAACGGCGTGTTTCGACGCGTTGTAGATGGATGTCTCGGCCAGGCCTATTAGCCCTCCGACGCTGGATATGCTGACCTGTAGTGGACGACTGTCAACAAGACTTCTCTGCAGAATGAGGGTACAAGGCAATGACTCACGATCGACCCCCCGACGTTCAACATCTTCCTCAGCTCAGCCCGCATGCAGTAGAATACACCGGCGCAGTTGATCCCCATCACAATGTCCCAGTCCTCGTCCCTGGCGTCGGCAAGGTACCGGCCGCCCTCGTGCTCGACGCCAGCAATGTTCGCGGCGCCGTCCAGGCCTCCCAGTCTCTTGAACGAGTCGTCGATCCACGCATTCACGGCGGCACAATCGCGCACATCGAGGACAGTGCCGAAGTGACCCGTCCCTTCCAGGCTCTTGAGCGCAGTATCCAGCCCTTGCTGGTTGATGTCGGATATTGACAGCACGGCACCGCGTTTTGCCAGAAGCTGAGCGGTTGCCAGGCCGATTCCGCTGGCTGCGCCGGTCACGACAATCTGGATATCTTTAGAACAGGCCACCAGGAGGGGCCATCTGGGGGTTAGACAACATACCTTTTTGCCTGTCAAAGAAGCCATTATGGATTGGATTCGATTAGGTCAAGTGAACCTTGTGTGTTTTTTTTCCAATGCCACGGCGGGATACGAACGCCTTCCCCCTCTACTGTAGTATACATCGGAGTCAGGACTCTGGCCCTTTATAGCCAGACATGGCATCGAGGCTCTGGCCTCGACAAAACTGACTACCTCGGGGCCTTGACCAACGGTGACTGACCTCCGCGTCACAATCAATCGCAGTTTGGGTGCTGTATACAGTACCCATCAACTTGTTTGCGGGTTGAGGCTACAGAGGGCTGGTGGGTGCCGGTGTCCCGAATAGGTGCGCGGTCAATATTGGCCGAGACCACGCGAAGCTTGAAGTGGCTTGATTAGCTTGATGCCATTGCTTCCCTTGCTTCCCTTGTCCACCCCGCAATGGTCCCAAGGGTCCACGTTGTTGGGTCAGATGGTCAAGGGTGGCACTAGACACTTTTACCTCCACACCTCCATCTTTTACTCGGACAAAATCCTCGACCGTCTGATCCGTGGACAGTTTTTCGAGGGGCACAATCGAAAGTTGTTCGAGTTTCTCCAATGTCGGCCATACACAACAGGATGGCGGCAAACACTCACTACGACTTTATCAATGTTCTCCCGCCCGCAGAGGCAACATGGGTGAATCCAACGCGAAACAATGGGCGTCTGCAGAGCCGGGCCAGCAAACACAGCTCCGCGAAGCACGCCGAAGCTCATCTTGCGTGTCTGGGTTGTCGTCCGAGGAAAGTCAGGGTAAGAACCAGCGACAGCGGTTGTATGTCATGGTGATGCTGACGACGGGCATCCGCAGTGCCAGCGTGAAGGAAATGGGTGTCGGCGATGTAACAAGCTCAAGATACCATGCATCGTGCCCGAAAGTGACCAGCGGAAAAGGTGCGTCCTCTAATATGCACCAAGGCTTTCGGCCAGAGATGATGAAGGATATGTAGGACTGACAGTGACAGACCACGTTCATGGGAATATATTCGTGAATTACAGGAAAGAATTAAGGTGGTCGAGACCGAACTGTCTGCCCGGACGCAGAGCCCGTCCAGCAAGGATGGAGAGGTGGCGATACAGAGTATCGAGACGCAGAGCACCGGACGGGAGCAGGATACCTATCCCATCAGCGAACCTGAATTGCTCACCCCGGAATCGCAACCAGCATCGTCCAAGAGCCTCATCGGCCAGCTGTGCGGCAGCCAGTGGCAAGTGAGCACCGACGAAATCGGCCAGGTTCGATTCTTTGGTCCGACGTCGAGTCTGCACCTCAGCGAGGCCGCAATGCCAGTCATTTCCGACCCCTGCGAGTCCCACGGCAGAATCCAGATCCTAGACGATGTGCCCCTGGCGCTCCAGCAGCACCTCTTCCATCTCTACTGGACGTTCCACCACTCGGTGTTGCCGATCCTTCACAAGGAAGCCTTCCTAGCAGACATGGAAGCCGGGCAGGGCAGGCATTTCAGTCCGTGTCTTCTGTACTGGATCTTCGTCTCGGCTGCGAGGATCTCCAGCTGGCCTCAGGTCCGGGCACTCGCGGTGCAGCATGGGGACGGCGACAGTAACGAGGCGCAACCGGTTATCCTGCGGCAGGCCACGTCGTTGCTGGAGCAGGAGATGCTGAACCCCGGTCTCACAACGGTCCAATCACTCCTCCTCTGCAGTTTGTTCCATGGCTCCCGTTCCAAGGACACGAGGGCTTGGTTAACATCAGGTACGCCGATTCCCCAAACTGACTCAAGTTCACTTCTCATTCTGTAGGAAACGCATGTCGCCTGGTCTTTGACCTAGGCTTGCATAAAGACTTCCTCCTTCTACGGTCAGCGGGCCTGTCTCAAAGGGACTTGGACGCGAGACAAGTCGCCTTCTGGGGGTGTTTTATGCTCGACAGGTCAGCATCTCACTCTCTCTATTCAGCTGTCTAACAAGATTGACTTGCTCTTCAACAGGCTTTGGGCAGTATATCTCGGCCGACCTCACGCCATCAAACTGGACGACGTGACCATGCCACGGCCCAGTCAAGACAGTCCCTCGTGGAACATGAAGATTCTATCCGCGTGGGTCGACCTCCTTGACATACAAGGCCACGTGGCGGCGCGATTGTAAGTCCCCCTTTTCCCCACCACGAGGATACAGTCCGTGCTGATGGACCCAAGAAACTCGACCCAGAGCTGCACCGACGACATTGAGATCCCGACGGAGCAACTGCACGAGTGGAAGCGGAAACTTGACCCTTCACTGCGATACACGGTCGAGGCACCGTCATCTGTCTATTGTCTCCAGTATGTATCCATGATCTCTGAACACCCGCGAGTTGTTCTTTTTTTTTTGTCACCAAATTCTAATTGGCCCCCCCCCCCCCCCCTCAGCCCATCCAATACCATTCGGTCATGATCATTCTGCACCGACCTCACGCCGGGTTCGCCGTCGCCGAAGGCACCGCGACGGCCTCACAGAAACAGTCGCGCGAGATCTGTGTGAGCCACGCGACGTGCATCGCGCGCATGCTCCAGGAGTACCGCGAACACCACGGGCCGGGGTACACGATGCTGGGGTCGGCCATCTACGGGGTGACGACGGCGGCGACGACGCTGATCGCCGACAGCGCCGAGGAGGAACAGCAGCGCGGGCCGACGTTCGCGCGCCAGCTGCTGTACCTGCGCACATGCCTCCGCACGCTCAAGGAGATGGAGTACACGGAGAAGTCCATGAAGCAGATCCGCAAGCGGCTCGTCTCGGTCATCACCAGCTGCAACCTGGACGCCGTGCCGCCCGAGGACGGCATGCTCGAGGACGCCGTCGACAGCTACATCACCAGCACGACGCTGCTCAACAACGTCGACTTCCCGGCCCTGGACCACGACTGGAACGGTCTGGCCTTGTCGAACGTGGCCAGCGCCAGCACCAGCGCCAACCCTTGCGGGGCCGCACAGTCCGGTCCCCCAGTCGACTTTGACATGGACGAGTTTTTGAAGATGACCACGCAGACCAATCTGCCGTTCTCGTTCGAGTCCCTGTTTACCGATCAAGATGGGCGATAGTTACCCAGTTGTCATCCTATCGGGGAGAAACAGCATTGGAACTTGTATATTTATGAGTTGTGGGCAGCACGAGTCCTCTACCAGCTGTAGCTGTGGGTCTACAGGGGCATCGACCGGATTTCAACACTTCTTGGGAACTAAATAGGATGACGACAACAGCAACTCGGTATTTCAAGGCATATCAAGGACGATCCAGCTGGACCTTTCAACCTAGGCTTTACTCGAGGACACTAGGACGCTAGAGCTGCGAAGCACTCTTCTTGCCACCTTCTCGCTCATCCCGGAGGATCCGCCTCACAAAGTCATAACTGCCCTTGAGCAGCTTCCCCCTCAAGCCGCTCGTCGCGGCCGACGACTCAGTCACGCCCTGGAACACCACGTCGGCTCGCGTCTTGTCACACCGGAGGACGGTGCCGCCGGTGTATTTGGCGTCCTGGACGAGGTCCAGCATCAATTGGGCCACCTCTTCGGGGGTCTGGGACAGGTTTGAGGCGACGCTGTACTGTTCCATCTTCTCGGGCCGGTCCGTCCAGAGGGGAGTCCAGACGGCTCTAAAATGGGGGAGGAGTCGTCAGCATTGGTTTCAATGGACTCTTTCGACAGGGTGTTGGCTCTGAAGGAAAGGAAAAGAAAACAATGATTCCCAGGCTTGAAGCAGGGAGGACATACCCAGGACAAATCCCCACGACCTTGACGCCCTCCTCGGGATCGGCGTCCCCCAGACTCTTGACCAGACCCACAACTCCGTGCTTACACGCCGAGTACAGCGTGGCGGCGTACTGTCCGTCCAGGCCGCCGATGCTGGCGATGCAGCACACGACGCCCTTTTTGTTCCGGCCGACGAGGGCGCGGATGGCGAGGCGGGTCAGCTTGATGGGGTGGGCGAGGTTGATGTCGAGCTGGGCGTACTTGGAGGGTTCCGAGTCGTTCCAGAAGTTGGACCATTCCTGTCAGGTGGCTCTGGGGTTAGCGAACGACTCGCAGCGGAAGAGAAGAGCATCTATCCCAAAGGACATGGTAAAGAGAAGAGAACACATCCCCTATATCCTGCCTTTTGGAGGAACAAAAAAAAAAGGGTACGACCTACCGGTTCGAACACGCCCGCACCAGGGACATAGACGTCCGGGACGTCGCCAAACTCCCTCTCAGACGCGACGATCAAGTTCTCCAGGTCCCGCCAGTCCGTCACGTCGCACTTGACGAACTTGACGACGTCGGGTCCCGCACTCGTCGCGAAAGCCGCGGCCTCGGGGCCGAGCTTCAGGTCGCCGATGAGGATTTTGGCGCCATGCTGGACGGCGAGTTTGACAAAGGCCAGACAGATACCTGGGGGTTTTCGTCAGTCGTGTTGTGTCATGTCATGTAACGTCACGTCATGTCCAGTTCAGTCAATTTGGATGGCGGGTGGCGTGGATGAATGGGCAAGTCGCCCTCTGGCTGGTAGACGATATACTTTGGGTGCCTGGAAGGGGGATGATCTGTCTAACCTGATCCGCCACCCGTGACGACCACAATCTTCCCTTTGACGGGGAATTCTCCGACGGACATGGATGTGTATATGTGTAGGACGTTTTTTTCCGGCGTCTGTATGTACTTTATGTACTTGTGTGAATATGTATGTGTCTGTGTGTGCGTATGTGTAAAGGTTTGCGTGTATGATCTGCGCGGCCTCAGCAACCAAACCGATGAGCGAGTATATACAAAAGACAAAAGACACAAAAGATCCTAGGTATGTGTAGGTATGCACTCGACTACTTTACTTACTTCCTTACTAGCTAGCCAGCCAGTACCTACCAGCGAACCAACAAGGCCAAGTAAAGTACTCTGTCTGCTTTGCGTGTTTTTTTTTTTATAAAAAAAACCTAGATAGAGCCAGTGTCTTGGTCTTGCAAGTCCTCGCTCGGTACGCGATCTCTCTCATCCTCTCTCTACCTATATATGACATGATATGATACGATACAACTTGACAGGTTTTGGCTCGATCGAGCATGGGGCGGAGAAGAAAGCCCGAGGTTCCCTTTTCAGAAGCCGGAACGTTTCCTTTCACCTGAGATATTATACGTGAAACAAAGCCGGATACATTGCGGGATCTGCTAATTAGAAGTACAAGTGCAAAGACGGTACATATTATTGTTATTATTGTTGGGATGGCATGATGGATGCTTCAGCCAAAGTCACAGCTACAGCCAGCCACAGTCAGTCATGACCTGTCGCGGTCAGTCAGTTCTCCTATACCCGTACTCGGTACAAGTCAATTACATCACTATTGTCTATCGTCCATTGTCGTCAAGGACCCGATCGAGCAAGTAAAGGAGACGGGACGAGACCGTGCATTACTGACGAGGTAGTGAGACACAACTACGCATTGAGAGAGCATTGTCCATAATTTTTGTCTGTGTACTTATTTATACTTGGTTGGACTTGTACATGTATCCACACTCCGAGCCCTCGGTCCGGCCGGCGTACATGCTTTGTAGTGCCGAATAAAAAGAAGAATGATGCAGCACATAGATGTGCCTTGTACCGTTTACCTCGTACACTTGTATCTCCGTAAAAAGGGGTACCTACTAGGTTATGTATCCATACCTCGCTACTAGGAATACGAGACAACGATCGCATCCCGCTACGGCCCACAGTTGCCGAGGTTCGTTACAGTCATGCCGAGTAGCCAATAGCCTGAGCTGACCCTACAAGTACCCGGTACGAGACGGAGCATACGAGATACGTGCCCGCATTTCAGTAGAGTGGTGGTGGGGTTACCCCGTCCCTGTGCCAGTTTGAGGTAGGCACTTACAGTACTCGTTCGCGTTCTCCTCTTTCTCGTTCTCCAGACAATCAGATCACTTTCTCCACAGACTGGAATCACGACTAGGGATTGGGATTGGGACTGGGGTTCGACACGACACGATAGACTAGGTAGACTTGGGGTGGGCAGGCGGGCGGGCGGGCGTGGGCACGTTCGGTAGTTGGACATTGGAGTTTTGGCTCGACTGACTCGCTAAACCGTGACACTCGCATCCACCCCAGCGAGCGAGCGACGACGACTCTGTAAGGTCGTGATGGTTGTTGTCGTCGTCAGTGATTCTCTGGGCTCGGCATGAGTAATAACTAAAGTAGTCAGTGAGTCAGTCGGTCAATCAATCGATCAATCAATCAATTAGACAGAAAGTCATCTACTACGCTCTCTCTATTAGACGCACGACCTTCAAGATCAAACATCAAAGACGAGACGAACCAAAGAAAAAAAAATAAAACCCCCTCCAAAAGGAAAGCTGCCTACCCACCTATCTATCACACATGGAGCACGGGTTCCCAGATCACTATGGCCAGCGGTTCACGCGGACGCTGCACCACAAGGCAGAAGGGCCGACACTGCCAGAGAATAATCCCCTGTCGTCGTTCATCGTGGTGGTGACGGGCGCTGGGAAAGGGTTGGGAGTCTACGTGAGTCAACTTCATCCCCATCAACCCTAAAACCTGGTTGTTGCGAGAGACACGAGCATTCGAGAGAAACATCCGAGAGAGTCATTTATCCTGCTTGTCTTTCTCCCCTAATTAGACTGGACATCACTGCTAACACCTCCCAAGATCTCCCTCGCGTATGCGCGCGCCGGGGTCAAGGGGATCTGCATCTCGAGCCGCACGCAGAGCGACCTGGACGCGCTGGAGAAGCAACTGAAGGAGGTGAACCCGTCGGTCGAGATCCTCTCGGAGATCTGTGACACGACAGACCCGAAAGCCGTGCAGGCGCTGGCGGAAAAAGTGCGAGAGAAGTGGCAGGGGAGGCTGGACGTGGCGATCGCCAACGCCGGGGTCATCTCCAAGTACCTGTACGACACGGACGCGAAGACGGGCGAGAAGACGAACCGGCGCCTCCCCTCGGGGATCGTCGAGGACGACGACTTCCAGCGCGTCATCGACATCAACCTGCTGGGCAGTTACTACGTGGCCAAGTACTTCACGGCGCTGCTGGTGGCGCCCGAAAACCCCAGCGCGGTCCGGGCCTACGTCGTCATCACGAGCATGGCCGCCCAGGTCACCGACAGCAGCTTCCTGCCCGTGGCGTACAACGTGGCCAAGTTCGCCAACAACCGCATGGTCGAGCACATGGCCACGGACCACAAGGCCGAGGGCCTCCTGGCCTTTGCCGTGCACCCGGGCGCCGTCCTCACGCCCCAGACCGAGAAGCACTCGAACGAAAAGGGCGACGCGTGGGACTCGCGCCTCACAGACGACATTGGCCTGTGCGGTGGCTGGTTGACCTGGCTGACGCGCGAGCGCAGGGAGTGGCTCAGCGGGCGGTACCTCAGTGTGACGTGGGACGTTGAGGAGTTGGAGGCCATGAAGGACGACATTGTGCGCGAGGATAAATTGAAGTTCAGGATGGCCGTCTGAAGGATGTAGCTTGTGCTGGAGGAGGAAGAGCGTAACAACCAACAGCGGCTAGAATTATATGCGATTAGACGTGGTACATGTCACAGGATGAGTGAGAGAGCGGGTCTCATCCATCCATCCCCCTTTCTAGACACAGCCTTGTCTGTCTACCAGTTATGACTAGATAACCCACCAAGACCACACATACTCGTCCCGAAGCAGAAAGGGAATTGATGCATGGGGCATACTACAAAAACAGCTAGATACCTGGATAGGTCTGAACACAACGCCCCCCAACCCCAAACAGGGAGTTGCTCTCAACCACCACCCCAGGAGTTGACCAGCTCGTATCGACGAGGGAGGGGGTCCGACTGTCGTTCTCCTCGGCTCTCTCACTGGTTTCGATGCATGATTAATCAATCTGCACCACCACTGTTACTAGTGTAGTGTGAATAGTGATCGAGGCACGAATGGTTCATGGACTTGCATGGCGGCACCTCGAGGCTGAAGCTGATGTAATCAGAGCATCTAAAGCGATGCCCGTCTTCAGCTGCGTGATAATACTCGGATCAGGTTGACGGCCCTTTCTTATAATATACATCTTCAGTAAGCCTCATCACTCTGACCATCCCTCCCCTTTCTGAAAAACAATTTTCCTCGGCCAAAAAATGGAAGAGTCCGAGTACACCACGGCCCCGGTCCAAATCCTCCGCGTCAGCAACAGCACATTTGCGTACAGAATCTTCGGCACCGCCGATAACCGAGACAGTGACGTGCCGTTGCTCCTCCCGACGCATTTCCGCAGCCGCCTTGATTTTTGGGACCCGGCGCTGATCGACGCGCTCGCGTCTCGGCGGAAACTTCTTCTGCTGGACAACCACGGCAGCGCCGAGGCGCAGTCTCTCAAGGGGAGTCAACGAACAACCGCCAGACAAGATCCGCGACGCACGCAGACGCAGACACCGTCACCACCAACAACGGGGCTGTCTTTCAAGTTCTGGGCCGAGGAAATCGTCGCGCTGGTCAAAGCCCTGGGTTTCACACAGGTCGACGTCCTGGGATTCAGCATGGGCGGCTTCATCGCACAAATGTTGACCCTCAACGCGCCCCCGGGCTTGGTCAGGAAACTCGTCCTTGCGGGCACCGCACCCAGTCAGGGACCGGGGGTAGAGAGCGGTGACATGCACTACTTCCAGAACCTGACGAATGCAACAACGGACGCCGACGTCAAGGCCGGATTCCTCTCTGGCTTCTTTGGATCCAGTGAGGCGAGACAAAAGATTGGGGAGAAATGGTGGAATCGGATCACGAGTTGCTCTTCCATGAGGCCGTTCGTGTCGACCAACGACATCGATGGGCAGATCACGGCAATGATGAGGTGGTACGGCCTCAACCACCGTGATGAAGGCTCTTATGACCGACTAGGCGAAATCCAATGTCCCGTCCTGATCCTGTGCGGTCAGAGGGACAGACTTGTTCCGGAACAAAACAGCATTCTTCTGTGGCAGAAGATCAGCCAGACCAACCCCAACGTACAGATACATATGTACCCCGAGTCGGGCCATGGATTTATGTTCGAATATCATCATCATTGCGCGAGACTTGTCAATGAGTTTTTGGACGAAGAGGTAAAAGTACAGTGCACATGCGAGTACTGCCATTGTTGAACGAGAGCCCACTGATATCATACAGTCTGAGGAAGGATATAATGACAAGGCACAAGCCATGGATTTCAGAGCAGGTGCCCGTGTAGGGATGCCCAATTTTTCTCCTTGCTTCTCGAGGATTGCCTGGCTATCTGTATTTGTCCATGAATTCTTTGTGGAATTTGATCCAGCGACCGACCCAATCCGTTCCCGGGGCAAGGAAGGTGGTTCGAAGATGTAATGTACCAGGTTTCTGCCCGAAGCCGGAGCCGGGGACGACACAGATACCCGTCGCGTCTAGCAGACGGAGGCAATAGAATTCGTCGGGCGTACGCTCTGCCTCCTTTGCAGCCTCGACTGCTTTGTCCGAAACCTTGATGGTGGGGAAAAGATACATTGAGCCCTATAATCACAAAGTAAGCAACGACCAAAATGATAATCACGTGGAAAAAAGTTCGACGTACCTGTGGCTCTCCCACCTCGACGCCCTCCATCTCCTGGAACGCCCGGTAAAGTGCCCAAGCCCGGTCTTTCAACCCGTTCCTGACACTGTTGTACTCCTTATCGTAGAGGTCGAAGCTGGGATCCCCTGGTTTCGGAGGGTCTACCACGAGGTCCAGCAGACATTGACCGATGACAGGAGGGCACAGCATGATACTGATGAACTTGTAGATTTCGGCCTGGACTTCTTGGTCAAAGCCCACAAGCTCAAAGTACCCAGCGCGATGCCCACATTCACCTACCATACCTTTGGAGACGGAGTTCAACGATGCGAGTTCGACTGAGTCATACCGACCTGGCTCCCTCTGCTGCATCCTTCGCAGGGCTCCTTTGAAAGAGTGGAATTGACCAACAAAGACATTCGTTTGGTAGACCTCGTCGGCCATGATCACGAGATGGTGCTCGGCAGCAAACTTGATCGTATCCTCCACATCCTTTTCAGACAACGAGGCACCAGTAGGGTTTCCAGGGTTGATGATAACAATGGCACGTACGTCAGTGCCTTCGCTGACCGCCTTGTCGTAGGCGTCCTGAATTATAGAAAGTTCGGTGCTCCAAGCCTGAGACTCCTCCAAGTAGTAAGGCACACAGCGGGCATTGAGAACAGAGAGGGTCGCGGTGTAGAGTGGATACTGCGGTATGGGAACAAGCACGCCGGTCTCGGGTTTGCCACAGATGATGTGGAGGAGGGTGTTGACTCCTGACGAAGCGCCTGCAGAGAGGTAGATGTCGTCCTTGTTCGAAGGAAAGCCATCCCGCCGCTCAATGAAGTTGGCGACAGACTGACGAATGCCAGGAGCGCCTGCAGACTGCGAATATGCCCCCACGGAATGGATTTCCTTCAGGAGCCGGCGAGCACGGTCGATGGCATCTTGTTTGTAGCCAAAACTCGTCTTGAGTGCTTCCTCGTTGTCCAACAGGGGTGGATACTCTAGAAGAGCAAGGACTTGCCGGAAGAATGTGATGGGTTTCTGGTCGAGTTGCTGGGGGTTGCCAATGTTGGCCGAGATAACGGTGTCAAATGGGAGTGGGTTCTCTGGCGGTGTAGGAGGGTCTTCCTTTTTCAATTTCGACCTGTACTCTTCTGACTTGATAGCAAGTTCGCCTCGCACGGCATACTTGGCCGCCTTGACGTGGGGGTTGATATTATGGATGCTCAAACTGCGCGACGGGCGCGTGGACGACATTTTGCGACGACAGGAAGGAAGTTGAGGTCTGAGGTAAGGATGAGGAACTATGCATTGGATATATCAGTATTGGGACTGGGTCACCGGAGACAAGGGAGGGAGGGAGGCAAGAAAAATGATCGGGTGCACAGAAGAAACTATGCTCGGTTGAGTCACAGGTGGTGTGTCAAAAAAGAAAATCGACCAGCCTAGCAAGGCCTTCACCCTGTACTCACCTCGTGACAGGCTTGGCCGTTGTGCTGGAAGGGAAGGAGGTGTTGTCTGTGTTGTTCGTGTGGTTGACAGTGCCCGACAGGTGTTGGCAAGTTCGCTGGACAGATGCTGAGCTCGCAGCAACACGGATGACACTCTTGACGTGGCTATTGTGGGTGGCGACATTTTCTGGTACATATAGACTGGAGAACTTCAGGTGGGGGGTGGGCTCCCTGGGGAAGTAGATGGTCTAGCCTGTCAGATTTGGAGCTGGCAAAGCGATATCGGGAGCTCGAACTCAGATATCGCAATTTGCAGAGGGCGTCACAAAGCTGTAGAGACTATTGAGGTATTATTCGAGATGGGGTGGACAGACACGACAGGCCGTCGCAGGAGAAACAAGGGCGGCGCACACGATCAACCGAAAGGATCTTCCTCACTGGCTGCGTCAATCTCGTCTCGTCATGGGGCGCGTGGGAGCTTTCCTCCCCGTCTATCTTATCGCTGATTGTGGGGGGACGCCACAGCTGGGCTTGCAGGGCTTTCAGGCTTTCTCGGTGTCGTTCCACGAACATACAGGGATTAATTGGAGAAGAGAGAAGAGACAGAGTTTCTTGGAGCTGCAACCTGCACAGGCGTCGGGCGACAGTGCAGCGCTAAACTGTCCGAATCAAGCAGCCCTACGAGAATTTGTCGCCGACGGCATGCGCCGTGTTCCATGCTGTATTCTTCCCTTTCTTTTCCCCTGAAAGCAACCTCCTGATCATGATAGTATGATGAAGGTATGGTACATGCCACGTTCCATGCGGCGCGATGTCTACCAGCAATCCAACCTAAGACGCCTGAGTCCCTTCCAATGGAGGTTCGGCTCTCACGCCCGCTCACTCCCTCGCAGCCTCACAGCCTGGCCGTACTTCTGCAGCTTGGTGATCAGGGCATCTCCTTGTTTCACAACATCGGCATATTGCTTGTTCTTGTCGTCCGGCCGGGTTGTCTCGATTGTCCCCTGCACTCGGTCAATTGTGCAACTCACGCGCCCACCAGCAATGAATTTGGCCAGATCTCTATCCAGGAAATCCACGCTGACCCCGAATGCCTGTGCCATCGTTGCCAAGCCCACTACCCGGTAAGATTGGAGGAGTTGTTGATAACCACGCAACCGCATTTCTCGCACGAACCAAGCTCGGTGCTCATAGAGGTATCGGTCCTGTGTCAAGAAGTTCTCCTCGACCGCAGCCAATGCCAAGAAGAAATTGCGATAGTTGCCACTGTAGAGGCTGTTGACCAGTCCGGCCAGCGAGGAAACGTCCATTGGGCTTTCGTTCTGTGACTGGACTGAACTGCTAGTCCCAAGTGTGTTGACATTGACAAGCCCAGCAGCACGTTCTGCAGTTGCTGCGGATGCATCCTTCATCTCTTCGTCCGCGCCAGGCGCCTTCTCCTCGCTATCCCCCAAAATCGCCTTGATTTCGGGTGCGTCGACAACTTTGGCTTTGAAATCGACCCGCTTGAGGGAAAGCGACCCTGCAAGCACAGCGTATACGACAAGTGATGAGTAGCTGCAAAGTTCATAGCTGGTGAAGGTGGAGAGACTGTCGAGGAGTAATGGAGCGGCAAGGTTATAGGATCGGACAGTGAGGAGGTGCAGGCCCTTGTAAGCTTTTAATCGATTTCTTCGATCCCAGTCTCCACCACCCTCGACCAAGATATTTGCCCGCTCGATTTGTTTCTTTGTGAAAGCCTTGTCGTTGAAGAAGATGCCGATGCGGATGATGGCGAGGACAATGTCGATCTTCGTGCCCAGCGGCCCAGTCTTGTCGAAGACTTTCTCATATGCGGCGATAGCTTTGTCCTAGCATCTGGTCAGAGAGATGTAGCTTTACAATATAATCTCCTGGCTTACCTTGTCGCCGACCCGGGCCCAGAACTCGGCGCGCTTGCTTCGAGCCGCTTGTACCTCTGTTTCTCCCGCCTTCTCTTCAGCCTCTTCTTCCTCTTTCTGGAACTGCTCCAGCTCCTTTGCATTATCAGCCTTGAGTTCCTCATAGAGCGCTTCGTCCCACGGCAGGATTCCAGAGGGTACAGGTTTCTTCGGGGGTAGGAGGTTGCTTGACACGAGAGACGCCCGTCTGGCGGCGGGTTTTGGCGGTGGTTGTAATGGCTGAGCTGTGCTCTCTCCCACGGTATTTAGCACACCTTCAGTAGGGTGGGCCAAATGCCGATATAACGGCGCCATCTTATGGTCTTTGATAGCATTTTGAAGGTAATTCAACGATGCTGGCTGGACAGTCTGGGGCGCATTTACTAGGGAGAAGATGTGCTGGGCGAGGGTAAGGTCTGGATATTTGGCAAACTGAGGATCGGAACCCATTATGCAAAGCGACCGGACCAAGCGATGTCGACTATGGAGAGAAAAATGAGAGGGAGTGGAGGAAAGCGTGGTAATGTTGGCTTTAGATCAATCAATACCACCACGACAAAGTCGGAGAACGCGCAGCAAAGCCAGCCTAGTGTGTATGTGGCCTTAATGCGCCACCGGATTTTGTACGGTAGATCAAAGTAGCTGCCAGGTGCTAGACCACCAGAAATGTTCAAATGCAAGTCTACAAATGGTTAAACTTGTCTCCCATCTTTATTCAACTCTGTCCATCACCTATCCAGTTCCCGAAGACATGCGTTTCATGTGCCATCTTACCCGTGTGTCAGAGCACTACTCGGTACTCAATAATCTTTAACCAACAACGTCAGCCATAATGTGTCCAAACAAGGCTGCGTTGGCCTGCCCTCCCATGCCCCCGTGGCTATCTGGACCCCGATGAGCTGTACCTCATTGTGCTCAAAGGCCTATTTGGACCGAGTATTGCATTGTTACTCCTTGCTGGTGCACGTAACCATACGTCCTTCGTGCCAAGGCGGTAGTTGACCACTACGTCGTAGTCAGTACGTACCCCGTAGTAGCTAATATTAATGTCCTATCAAATAGAATCAAGCAAAGGAAGACAAAGGAAAGGAAAGAAGAGCTTTGCCAGATCGTGCTGGGCTATGCTGGGTGGCTGGTCTGTGGCTCCTAGCGAAGAGGGTCCGAGTGGCAGAGTGCCGAGTAGAGTACAGTACTCGACTCGGTACGAGGTGGTTAATTAGTTAGGTTGCAGAGCAACCAAAAAAACAAAACAAATGGTGTAGTACATTAGAGTCCCGAATAGAATAAGGAAATAGGACAATTCAAATGCCGAATGCGAATGCGCTGCAATGACACGGGGCAAGAGAGCAATTTGATTTCAGAAATTGGTTTGAAAATAAATGTATATCCACTCTTAGTTGAGCCTGGTCATGATGAGCCTGGTCATGATAATAGCCCTCTTACCCATCATCATCATCCTATCCACACACGTATTAGGTAAATCGCTTACTTGGAGTTGTCAACACCACGCTTTGCGCAGCTTGCGATCGTGATACCGCCTAGTCGCCAACAAAAACCCCATGTAAAGAGCTTGGGGTTTGCTTTACAGCTCTCGTGGCCTTTCAACAGCCACAGCCTTCTCTTCGTGGTACTTCTTGGTGCCGAGGGTGGAGATATCATAGCCCTTGCTGATCAGGTAGTCCCGGAAGCGCTCGTCCTCCTTGGTGATCGTGTCCTGGCCGATGTTGGGCAGGAAGACCAGGGCGATGAGACCCGAAAAGATGCACAGGGCGCTGGACACGTAGAAGGGGTATTGTCCCTGCTTGATGACGTTGTCGCCCGCGGCCTTGATGATGTCCGGGAAGATGTAATTGCCAACAAAAGCGCCGATCTTGCCGCACGCGGCGGCGATCCCATAGTACATACCACGAACCGAGGTCGCCGAGGTCTTGGAGGCGACCAGGCCGATGTTGTCCCCGGGACCAATCTCGCCCAGTGCCAGGAAGATGCCGTACATGACGACGAAGCCGCCGACCTGGGAGGCTTGGTCGAGGTGCTTGTAGATGGCGGTCATGATGAAGCCGACGATACCCTGCAGCATCACACCAGTGACAAGGCAGTACTTGGGGCCGATCCAGTCCGAAAGGAAGGCGCCAATGACGGCACCGGGGACGTAGAACAGATTGATGACGGTGTTCCAGCCGAAAGATTTCCAGAGGGGCGCGTCGGAAGGGAGCAAAAAGGCCAGCCACGCGGAAGAGTAGATGCTGAAGGAGTAGGCAGAGAAGTCATAGATGAACCAGATCAGCGAGACGAGGATCAGGCGCCACCAGTAGAACTTCAAAATTAGCCAGTATGGATAGTGGTTCATCTTGTTGCGGTTGTATTCTTCGGGTTCTTGCAGTTTGATTCGCAGCCAGAGAAGTGACAAGGGAGGAATGACGCCCAAGCCCAGCGCGATACGCCACGCAGCGCGGAGATGTTGGTCGGTGAAGATCAGGGCCAAGATCATGGGGACAAAGGCCGCGACGACAAAACCAACGTCAATGGCTAGATTTGTGAAGCAAATGAACCATCGGTTCCGGTGGCCGTTCTTGAGTTCACCGGTGCTCTCCGCACACGCAACTGAGCCGGCAGGGTACTCCCCTCCAATGCCAATACCGAGAAGGAAACGATAGGCAGCCAATGCGGCAAAGAGACCTTGAATGCTGCCACCTGCGCCGTAGGAGCCTGCGCCCAATGCAGCAAAGACGATCAGGATGATGGTGGAAATGAGGAGTGAGTGTCTGCGAGACCAGTGGTCGGATAGGTAACCAAAGACCAGCTGGCCAACAACGGTGCCAGCGAAGGCGATCGAGGCAACATTATTCTGGGCGTCGGATTTGGTGTACTCGTCCTTGTAGATTGTCTTGAGCATGGTGTTGACCGAACCGATGACCTAAAACCCCGCTGTCAGTCATGTCCACATTGATGTGTAAATTATGAGGCACATACGCCATTGAGATAACCGTCAGAGAACAATCCTGCACCGCAGGCCATGACAGGCCATGTGCGTTCCCATCTCGACTTTGGGGTGGCGTCAAGCGGAGCTTCATGGATCGAGTATGAGCGAACAGCTTCAGGACTGACTGTTTCGTCGAAGATCTTCTTTTCAGGAGGAGTATCCATTTTCAAAGGAGAGGGCGTGGTTTGACTTTGTGTGCTGGCTCTGGGGAAAAGGTCGGACAGACTGTGGGACAGACTGAGGGAGAATATATAACTTTTTCCCAGGATGATCTTGGTCGATGCCGATCAGCCATGTGTTGGTGGTTTCTAAACGTGCATCGAAAGATCGGGGGGCGAAGCCCAAAGAAGAAACTACATGCTGATGAACAGGCATATTGGCAGAATGGAGTGGGGTGCGAGCAAGGTGACTAGCAAGGAGCCAGATTGATTGATGGATACACCAGAGGGGAAGTGGAGGAAGACGTCAGAGTCGAGATAGAGGCACCGGGAAGAGGGTAGTGTGGTACGCAGCTGTACAAGTGTGGGTAGCAGTCACTAAGATATGAGGCTAGCCAGAGACGAAGGTGCCATTTGCAGCTAGATACTTAGCTAGGTAGGCGCAATAGGTAAGGACCCCCAAGAGATACCTATCAATACCTAAAAGTTAGTGCCTAGGTACTTACGTAGGTCCTCGTTCTGCAGTTACACTGCTAGGTGGCACAGGTGGTTTAGGTATTCCCTAGCCTGTACCTCGTATGGCTCGCCGATAAAGGCCCCTGCCAAGTGCCAAACCCCGCCTAAAAATCATGTCCCAATACGGCTTGGGCTCCGTGACGAAGGATTGAGATCAAAGCCGGCCAAAAAAAGGTGGCACTCGACACCTTACCCAATGTGAAACCCGAGGTCATGATTGCTGGGCCATGTGAGTGGCTGGATATCCCACCATCGAACCTCCAACGGTAACATCGAGCATCGACTATCGACTAATCCCTCGGTCTGGGTGAGAGATTCGGGATCGCCGCTGCGTGAAGTCCTGCACGATCGACTAGTGCCAACACCCTTGCCTCTCAGGAAAGTGGCCGTCTTCAGTAATTTTTTGACATGGCTCACCCGCTCCTTTGCTCACTATCTATGCACAGGCACGGAGAACCCATTCCCACTCAGGACTCTTCGCCCGCGCAGCCGTGGAGGTTCGCCGTCTTTCGTCTGATAACGACGACACGTGCATATGCTCTGTCGAATGTATTGGCTGCGGAACGGAACAACTTTTGTGTCCCCAACTCCATTCTTGGGTGCCACCCGGGTAGTGGGTGGGTAGGTGCAAGGGTCCCAGGTGCGCCGCAGGTGTTGGTGTGATACACAGAAGTGAACCTTTTCTCCATCATCCAAAGAAAATTTATGCCCAGCCGGCTGCACAGAGGCTTAATCGGCACAGGCTCCCCGAATCAGATGCTGTCGCGAAAAAGCTTGTCACTTATCGTCGCCTTGGCCATCATGCGCATCAACTACATCCCTCCCTTGTATGCACAGTATACTCGGTGCCGGCCACTCCTATTACGCCCAGTATGTACATCGAAGAACTCTTGCCCGTAGAGTCAAAGAAGGGGGAGGAAGAGAGACACAAATTCGACACATTTCCAACCCCCATCGACTGTTCCAGAACACCGCCGGTCCTCCCACCATCTCTATAGCTTCGCCTTCACCTTGCCCCCGGCGTCCTCTTCCTTGGCCTTCTCCTTCAGCAATCTCCGGAGGATCTTACCCGCAGCGCTCTTTGGTATCTCGTCTATGAATCTCACGCCGCCTCGCAGCCTCTTGTGATTGGCCACTTTCTTAGCCAGCCATTGCACGATCTCTTCTGCGTCCTTTTCACTGGTCCTGCTGCGATCACTGGCCACCACGTAGGCCCTTGGCACCTCAGTGTGTTGGAATTCGTCGTACACCCCGATTACAGCCACGTCGTTGATCCCAGGGTGATCCATCAGCTTTCCCTCGAGCTCTGCTGGGGGCACCTGGAACCCCTTGTACTTGATGAGCTCCTTGACTCGATCCGTGATGTAGAAATTGTGGTCTTTGTCCTGGTAACCCACGTCACCGGTCTTGAAGTAGCCGTCCTCTGTGATGGCGTCTTTAGTTGCTGCGTCGTTTTTCCAATACCCCTTGAAAACGTTCGGTCCTGACAGCCACAGCTCTCCTGCCTCTCCCGCCCCCAGTTCTTTACCGTCGGGTGACATGTACTTGGCCGTCATACTTGGAAACATCTTCCCAACACTTCCCACGGACGAGTACCATTCATCCCAGGGCTAGAAGCATTGTGTCAGCGGAGAAAAGTGACAAACTTCCCGACCCTCGACAGGGTGAGTTGGTGAGTACTTACCTGAGTGTGCGTCATGGGAGAGGTCTCGCTCAATCCATAGGCTTGGTTGATCTTGATCTTCAGCCTTTTGTGGACTGCATCGACCAGTTCTCGAGTCAACGGAGCCGCGCCGCTGGTGATCATCCTGACACTGCTCAGATCGTACTCGTCGACAATCTTGTCCCGAGACAGTCGCACGATCACTGGGGGTGCTACATAAATGAAGGTGATCCTGTGCTCCTGGATCGCCTTCAGGAAAACCTCGAGATTGAACGCGGGCATCACCACGAGCTCAATACCGCGATGCAAAGGTTGATGGATGAGCCCCGTGAGCCCGTAAATGTGGTAGAATGGTAAGACCCCCAGAATCTTGTCCTTCCCACTCGAGTACCACTTGCCCATGGCTCCTTTGATCATCAGGACGTCGGCGATGATATTGCGGTGACTCAACATGACCCCTTTGGGGAGACCAGTCGTCCCTGAGCTGTACACGAGGAAAGCGAGCTCGTTGTCCGGGTCCATCTTGCGTCGTCTATAGCGAGTCGCGCCCGACGTCTTCCGGATGTTGGTCCAGTGCTTGACTCTGTGAGACGGATCTCGTTTGCTGCCCAACAATATCACGCGGTCCTCGGGGATGTTGGACATCTTGGCCGCTTTCAAAGCCGTCTCCAGGAAATCAGTCGTCGTCACAATCGCCTTCGACCCAGAATTGGATAACTGGAAAGTCAGCTCATCGGCCGAATACGCGGGATTCGCGGGTGACACGATGCCACCAGCGAAGAAGACGCCATAAACGATCGGTGCAAAGTCGACATCGTTGGGCGCGAAGATGTTCAGCACGTCGCCTTTCCCCCAGTCCCAGAGGTTACGGAGACCACCCCCAAATGCAGTAGCAGCTTCCTTCACATCGGCCCATGTGTAGTGCCGCGATGAGTCCACAGAACGGTAAATGACTGCGTTTCACGATTTGGGGTTAACAGAGAAGTCCTCACTTTCACAGAGTTCAAGGGTGCTTTCTTTGACGAACCTTGGGAATCGGGGAAATCCCGGGGTTGCTCGAACATCAGACCCCAAAGGTCGACATTGGGGATCTCAATGTCCGGATAAGATGATTTGGTGGGCATGGTGGTGACTCTCTTTTCCCCTGTGGTCTTCTTCGAGTATGACTTCCGTATCGATCACGTATGCAGGAGTGAAGCGGGAGCTGAACGATGTCCCCAACCTTTAGTCAGTCGTGATGAACCTCTAACCCCCAACCCCCTCGAGCTATAACAACCCACTGACGTAAGATTTCCTTCCTGGTCCGACACGATACGCGTCGTTTAGTTGCTTTCCACAGCGACTGACCTTGCCAAAAAACAAAGGATAGGAACAACCTCTAAAGACCATGAGCCCATCACCTGGCAGTTTCTGAGGAAGGGACATTTCAGAGCTATGTTGGCCAAAAATTCCCATGTCGACATTGCTCCACCTCCGCAAAACCGGCGGAATTGTCCCGGAATTTCATCGGAACCTCGGCTTGATGATGCGGGTCACTGCCGTTTAAGGAATACTTCGACTTGCCTCCCCTCAACGGCCAAATAATTATCGCTTCGTACGAGTTCGACGTCCACTCTTGGGTCGCTCGCTAGCAGATAGCAAAAGTTGTTGCTGGATTATTCGATATGCATGTGGAGGATCGGGATTATCCGCCGTCCATGGCGCTTATCGTAATTTGCAGCCCTAGTTTCACCATGCTCTTCCTCTGCCATACGACGGAATTCATCGATCACCAAGGACGAGGTCGAGACACAACTTAGTTTCGAATCGGACACGAGCTTTTAAAATCTTGGCTTCGGGGTTGCGAAACTGTGTGTACTTCGACGCTAGATCTATGTGGCTCATCTTCTGGAAAATTTCGACGTGGTCTCGAGCTGGGCAAGTGTCAGTCCCATTCCCACTCTTTTCAACACTTCGTACAACAACTCCGATATCTGCTCTTGCTCTTCGACCCTAGTCTCGTATTATCCAGAATTCGAATTGATCTTAGCAAGTTCCTCGCGGGCATCATCACGAACACGCTCTACTTGGTCGGCCAAATGTCGCCCAGAGTTGTGTTTAAGCTCTGTGGCTTTTTCAAGAATTCCCCATAATGTGGTCTCGGCGTTTCTTGGTGTCGACTTTCCGCAATATAGTGTCATCGAGTATATCAGTTGCACATGCAAGACGCTTGGTTTTTGTTGTTTTCCGGTGCAGTCCGTGGTTTCTACTTGTGAGATGCAGGTGGAATTGACAATCCACCTTGCCCTGGTGCAGGGTGTGACGGTTCCAGATGCGACATGGAGTGGGAGTGAAGTCGGGTCAGATGCTCCATCCAAGGCGTGCATAGACAAGAGATCAACTGCTGCAGGCAGCATGTCCACAGCAATTCTCAGAGTACATCATGAATGAGGTGGTTGATTGTCTCGGAGAGTCATAACTAGATAGAGACCACACCATTCAATCCACTATTACCAATTCCCAACGTCCAACAACGAGGAGAAATTGGAAAGAACTCTGCTTGTTTAAGCAGACTTACCTGATTTGCTGTCATGACATTGGACTGCATGACGCTTTGCGCTCTCCGAGATATTCGACAAGTCGTGCTGAAGACGCCTCGGTGGTAAGTAGCTGCCACATCCGCACCTAGCTACCACCGTGGTTATCTCGGGCCGGCTTTGGGTCAACAATCCCGAGGATTGGATCTTTAACTCAAGTAACTAAGTAGGCTGGTAAAGGACCGCGATGCTGCCGAAAAAGAAAAAGAAATCCGGTGCTAGTTTCAGTGTGTCCTGTTAGACGATCAACAGCGGTACCTTTCTCAATCCTTGGGGAACAAAGTGATGAGCGACATTCCCCTAATATCAATCACAGTAGCCAGTGGATGACATCAATGAGTTGTTGGTCGAGGATTTCCTCAGCTAATCGCTCCCGGATGGTTTGGGTGGTTTAAGTCCCACCACAGCAGTTGAGGAACAGATCATGATGTTCCCTGGAGGGTATCATTGTTGGTGGACGTGAGCACGTCCATCGCTCTGTCCTGCTCAAGAAGTTGGCGAAAGTGATCAAGAAGAAATTCAAACACAAATCCGGGATGGGAACGGCATGTCGTTCGCTATCGAGGACATCCGCGAATGCGGTCTCTGGATTCTGAGCGTCCTATTGCAGGTCGGATCTCACCTCACTGTTTCTTCCATTTCCGCTAGGCGAGGAGGCCTGCACTAGAACATGAATACCTGCTGGAACTCGTGCGAGAATTCGGCAATGGGTGACCTTGCAATTTCGACAAAATGACTGATTGGAGATGCGAGCTTGTGCATCAACGAAGGTGGTTTGGTGTGCAGGCCAGTCACAGAGGAGGACACGAGCAAGAACTGGGCGTTCGAGGATTGACTGCAGTGTTCTACGCAGATAGACAGATGTTGTGGACGGCTAGTTTTCGTGCCATGTGTGAACGGACGAGAAATAACTGTTGCGTTGATTACTGCTAATAATAACGAGGTAGGTGAGATATTGTGTAACGACTGCAAGAAGAATGCAGTGGTGTTTATGAGCGCGAGTACCAGCATGCGCACAAACAACAAAGCAACAAGCATGAGACGATCGTAGGCTGATATTGTCCGAACAGCCGAGGCAGCGCTGTTCGGCGGCTGACATTCCCTGCTACCCGGAGTCGCGCCCTTAAGACCATCATTTTCACCCCCAGTTGGAATCTGAACGCTCCTCCATCTTTGTCCTTCTCATCTGCGACAAGGCCTAAAAGACATCACAAGGGTCACCATCATCATGGTCGCAGACGCCCTTGTCTATCACCCTGCGGTGACTCATTACCTCCGATTTGTCGCGACGACAGGTGAGTCGGTCCAATGCGGGTTCCGCCGAGTGTGTCAACTAACCCAACCACTTCACAGTCGGCCGTGATAAAGTTCTCCGAACGATCCAGTATTTCAGCAGATTCTACGCTTGGTACTTGTATCGTACCAATAACCCGACCAGCGCCATCCAGCCATGGACCACGCTCAAGAACCAATTCGGACTGACGAGGAAAATCCTGCGCGCTGGAAAATTCGTCGAACACATACGGGCCGCTTCTGAACTATACGATGCGGCGGTCAAGTCGGGCAATGGGGACAAGATTGTGCAATACCTTCAGGTCCTGAGACAGATTGGGTACGGAGGCTACCTGTTCTTCGATATGACGACGTTGTTGGATGCAATGGGGGTCAAGAAAGATGCTCGCGCGAAGAGCGTCCAGATCACGGCGTACAAATTCTGGCTCACAGGCCTGATCGCAAGCGCCCTTGCCGGTGTATACAACACCTATAAGTTGAGAGAGCGTGCCAGGGCTGTCGATGAGAAGGACGCCGAAGCCAAGTTGGAGAAGGTCAAGATTGCCAGGTATGTCATAGACGACTCTTCTTCACTCATGTACTGCTTCGTGGTGTGTACCCTTAAACTGACTTCAACACCCAGACAACAACAAAGCGTCAATATCCAGCTGATCTCCGACCTCTGTGACCTGACAGTACCGAGCACAATCCTCGGCTACACCAATCTTGATGACGGTATTGTTGGTTTGGCGGGTGTGACCAGCAGTTTGCTCGGCATATATGGAGCATGGCAGAAGACTGCTTGAGGTCTTATGACGTGAAGACTAAGTAACTCTTTTGCATGGCATCCAATCTAACTACCGCGTGAATTCTGAGTAAATCCGCAGGAATATGAGGGATGATTTGGCAGCTCTCGGACGGATGGATTGGGGGTTTGCAAGTGGAGATTGAGTCCCAATAGAGGTATCGATCGAGTCTGCGGTTGAAGAGTTTGGTCATAGTCAATGCTGCAAGGATGTAGTCGTTTCCCTGTCATTACTGCTATGTCGTCCAAGAGGAACGGTTTGATCATGATCTGCTCGAGTCCAAGTGTTTTTGCCTGCCCTCCTTCAGGTCATAGCTCGACAAACTGCGACACTCGTTTGCTCTGATCTACAATTGTCATCAAGACTATCGACCGAAACACTTAAAACACGCGTCCATTTTGACGTATGCATGCTCTCATCATCTCTTTTTCCTCCCTTCTCTTTTTGGAAAGGCTGTTATTGGACGGTTCGCACCGGAAACGCAGATTCGATTGGTGTAGCGACAAAGAACCAAGGAGGTTGACGCAGGCGGTAGTACCCCTCCTCGCAAACTTCCAGGGAGAAAAAGAGCGAGGCACGCAGCCATTCAACAGCAGTTTCGCAGGGGGCGACATTGGCGGGGGTCAAAGGAACATCACGAGAGCAGAGACGCAAGAAGAGGCAAAGTGAGAGGAAGACTAAGCCTAGACTCAGCTCTCGCCTCCACCTCAATTGCAGCTTGTCTTCCGTCACCCTCCCGTCGCCCTCTTTCTTTCACTCTCTTCTCGAAAACTCGACCCAACACGATAATAAGAAGGGTATTTGCATCCCATTATCGCATGCTCCGCACCTGTGGCACTGATCTCCAATTAGTAGTACACGGCATATCGACGGCACTTGGCCTCTTCCAATCAGCACGCGTCGGGCAGAGTCGGATTGAGTCTCTACGCAAAACCACCTCGTCGTCCTCCGATCTCTCCCGTGAGTTCATCGGGAATAGCACATCGTTTCGGCTTGGCCCCATCGTCAGAAAGATACAATATCAGGTCGATCCCCAAGTCATGGCTGCCGACTACTCTACTCGTCTCCAAGCTGTTCACCAGATCAGGCCTCAGTCGCCCTCTCCAGCAACTGGAACAGCACGTTCAGCATTAGCCAAAGTCCAGCTTCGAGCTTTCTCCTCCAGAATGGTCTCTCACTCTGTCAACAAGACCGCTCTCCACCCGGGTGGTGTCGAGTAAGTTACCCTCCTCTTGATGCCCAAATCCATGAGATCACAATCAACTCACTTCAACTTCAGGCCAACCCGCGAGCACACCGAACTCGAAGAAGAGCTCCACACAACTGCTCACATTGACTACGACCGGGTTGCCATTGTTGCCAACCCATCAGTTTCGGCTCTCTATGAAGATGCCCTGGTCTACGAAACCGGCACAGCCATTACATCCTCAGGAGCTTTGACAGCCTACTCAGGGTCCAAGACCGGTCGTTCCCCGCTGGATAAGCGTGTGGTCAAGGAGGAAAGCTCGGAGAAGGATGTGTGGTGGGGACCAGTCAACAAGCCCATGACTCCAGAGGTCAGTTTATTGTCATCTTCTCCTGTTCTATCCTTTGTACATTGCGAGACTGGTCCGACCCAAATCCGCAAGGACAAGCACATGCACCTAGCAGGCAGCCCATGAGTCGTTTGATCTCGGCCACGGGCGAGCAAGCTCGACGGTGCCTAACACCCAGCGATTCCCCGCAATGCACGGTGATGCAGTGGTTCGCATGTGCGCTACGGACGGCAGGAAACGCCCAAGTTTCTCAGCTGAAGTGTGGCTCTGCCCCGCGTTGCCCGGAAAGGCCCATGACGCAGAGCTGGGCCCTGTGCCGCGGCTAAGAATACTCTTGGCTGCGGATGACTCGGCCAACCCAAGTCATGGGCCGGGAATTGTTCCGGCCTTTGTTCTCTAAGCCCCACGATAAGTTTGTTGTTATGAGAGACCAGGCCGCTGACATACCATCTTGCTCGTATAGGTCTGGAAGATTAACCGAGAACGTGCTGTCGACTACCTCAATACCCGGAACCGAATCTATGTCATTGATGGCTTCGCTGGCTGGGATGAACGATATCGTATCAGTGTCCGAGTTGTCTGCGCCCGGGCCTATCATGCCCTGTTCATGCGGAACATGCTCATCAGACCCTCTCGTGAAGAGCTGGAACATTTCCACCCCGACTATGTCATCTACAATGCAGGGTCCTTCCCCGCCAACAGATACACAAGTGGGATGACCAGTGCCACCAGCGTTGCCATCAACTTCGCTGAGAAAGAGATGGTTATTCTCGGTACTGAGTATGCGGGTGAGATGAAGAAGGGTGTCTTCACCGTCCTCTTCTACGAGATGCCTGTCAAGCATAATGTGTTGACGCTTCATTCGTCAGCTAACGAGGGTGAGAACGGCGATGTCACTGTCTTCTTCGGCCTGTCCGGCACTGGAAAGACCACGCTCTCTGCCGATCCCAACCGCAAGCTGATTGGTGACGATGAGCACTGCTGGTCCGATAAAGGTATCTTCAACATTGAAGGTGGCTGCTACGCCAAGTGTATTGGCCTGTCTGCGGAGAAGGAACCTGATATTTTCAACGCCATTCGTTTCGGCTCTGTGTTGGAGAACGTCGTCTTTGACCCCGAAACTCGGGAAGTTGACTATGACGATGCGACCCTGACGGAGAACACTCGCTGTGCATACCCCATCGAGTACATCGGCAACGCCAAGATTCCGTGTATCAGCGATAACCACCCTAGCAACATCATCCTCCTGACCTGTGATGCTCGTGGTGTGCTGCCACCCATCTCCAAGTTGAACACGGCCCAGACCATGTTCCACTTCATCTCTGGTTATACCTCCAAGATGGCTGGTACTGAAGACGGTGTCACTGAACCACAAGCCACTTTCTCATCTTGCTTCGCTCAACCTTTCCTGGCCCTTCACCCGATGCGCTACGCTAAGATGCTAGCAGACAAGATTTCTCAGCACAATGTCAACGCATGGCTGCTCAACACCGGCTGGGTCGGTGCGGGTGCTAGCACTGGAGGCAAACGCTGCCCATTGAAGTATACCCGCGCTATCCTGGATGCCATCCACTCGGGCGAGCTCGCAAAGGCCGAATACGAGAATTACGATGTGTTCAACCTCAGCGTCCCCAAGGCGTGCCCTAACGTGCCGGATGAGCTCTTGAACCCCAAGAAATCGTGGACCGGCTCAGCCGACTTTGGCGACGAAGTGACCAAGCTCGCCAAGTTGTTCAACGAGAACTTCAAGAAGTATTCGGATGAGGCCACCGAGGAGGTCATCAAGGCCGGGCCCACGGTGTAGATGAAGTGAGGTGGTGCGGAGTGAAGCGAGCTGTTGTTTAGCTTGATTGAGCTAGACGTGCCATGTTTTAATTTGTCGCTTGGGGAGACTTTGGCTGTACAAAGTGGCATCAAAAGGGCGTTTGGTTAAGCAGCGTTCGATTGTTTGGAGCATGGAACAACAACAACAATACGGACGCGAGACGCGAGAGGCATCACGATTGCAACGAACGGACAATATTTGGGACAGCCATCCTCCTACCCTGTTGTCTCAGTCGTCGTTCCGACTTCTAGACATACCGTGGAGGGAGTTGATCGGCCTACATCATATGCCTGCTAACATGAGCTAAGAGATGGGATGATCGTTTTCCTGCGGCAACCATGTGTTGATAGCTTTTCCTTGATTTAAACCACCAAAATAACGGAGCTTTTTCTCACCTGTACACGTTCTCATGCCCACGATCAGGAAGACCACGTGCTCTATTGAACAATCCACCTTCATTTCCGGAACGCTGACTCGATTCATGTCATTCATTGATCATCGTGAGGCCTCTTGAAGTGGGAAGCTGTAAGCTCAATGGGGGAATGATGACCGCGAACCCCATGCCTGATGAATGAGGGCAAAGTACCTGAGGAAAGTAGCCGCCAGTCAGCAGGGACCATGCGGGCCTTACGACTTGTCTGCTTGCGATTGATGGATGTAGGATAACAAATCCTGTGACCCTGTGTCGTTCGTCGACATACGAGGGGCCGATCAAGGTAATTCTCCGGGTCTATGTCTGTAGCGATCCTGCTTTTTTTCTTGTGGAGAATGCTTTGGCCATTTTCATTATTACATTGTGGTCCTGAAAGAGTAGTGTCTCGTGCACCTCGTGGGTGAGAAATGGCGGAGCAATAGGATTAGGGCGCACTTGAACGCCAGAGTACTCTATGTCATGGGGCAATGCGACATGCTGCAGGCTCGCCGCGTCGAGTCAAACCGTCAGGGTCCGCGGAAGTCCCTTTCTCGTGTGTAAGTGAGCATCGACCGTGGGGGGTTTTCGACGAATGTTGCATTGTGCAAGCAAAAGCGGGAGAGCGGTAGCTACTGTAGTGTCAAAGTGTGTAGCTATGGGCACCGGGTGAGGCTATGTACGGATCCCCTCACCGGGTGCCGTTGGCAAAAGCGTGGACTGTGGGCAACGGTGAAAGGAGTGGGCAGTGCCGTCTACGAGAACTGGAGGACTGGGGAGTGGGAGTCAAAAGGGTAGCCCGAGGTTGCCCAAGGGGCGACCAAATAAGACCAATAATGGAGCCCGCGGGTGGAAAAGAAGCGAGCAGCGAGGAGATGCCCCGAGAGAGTGCACTCTGAGTACCTGTCAGTGCCTGTCTAGGTACCTAACTTGTGTACCTAGGTTCCTAGTTCCTACAAAGTACGACAAACGGGTACTTGTCATCGAGCTGGCTACTGTAAGGGCTCGTTACTAAGTGGCCTTCCTAGCGGCCTCGGGGCCGATTCTACATGTAGAATACCTGCATAGGTGTGCGTGCGTGTTCTCGGTACAAGCACCTACAAGTATCTACGTAGTGCTCTTCTACCACCGTCCTCAAACATTCCCCTCCACCAAGTAGGGAATCCCTCGTGCTTTCTAAGATGCCGACAGGGTCCACTGACCATGGCATCGGCATCTCAATGAACTCGACGACTGACCAAATGAACCTAGTTACGGGTTACTAAGAGATTCTCTTGCATTACCATCCCATGCGCTTCGCATGCCTGCAACCCCGATCACCTGCGAATTCTGTGGTCCCACCAAACTCGAATCGAAAAAGCCACCGCACCACGCATCCACCGATCAACATTGTAGAGAAATCCCACTCCACCGGCTCCGGCTCCATGGGCTACAAGGGCTGCAAGGGCTTTCTAGAGAAAGAGACTCCAACCAACCCCATCCAGTGGAAACCCGCGGCCACGCCGCCTGGTCTTCTTACGCTTTTCTCGAATTTTGCCCTCCTTCCGCTCATCCTCTTCCATGACCGCCCTCACACCCACTTCTTCTCTTTACAACATACATACCTCGCTCACCAGCAATTCGCAAAACAGCATCACCTTTGCTGAAACAACTCCCCAACCTCGAACCATGGCCGATCCCGACCCATAGCAGCCTTTTCTCTTCGCCTACCAATCTTTCCTTTCCCCTTGTCCACCCTTTCCGGCGTCAGGCGGTTCTTTCTCGAAGTCTTTCGGAACCCTATCCCAGGAACCCTTCCGCGCTCATCCATAGTCTTGCCGACAACGTCCACCCCAGCACCAACCGGCGTTTGATATTTTATCAGATTGATTCCTTTCTCATATACCGTTGGGGGCGCGCCCCTTCACCTTCTTTCCTCCTATACCTCTGCGTCCGACTCGGTCAACGCTTAGTCCTGCTGCCCCGCTGTCTCGAGCAGTCATCCGACAGGCCCGGGACCCGGCATATTCCTATCACCTTCTCCCTGGCCGACAAGATCACTGCTGCGACGATTTTCGTGAAAGGCGATCGACATTTCAGATTGGAGATTCGAAATGCTCATCAACGGGGAAAAATTCGCCTGCGAGGCGTGCGTGAGGGGCCATCGTGTTAGTTCTTGCCATCATCAAGGTGAGTTGTGTTGGGCATTTTTCATACACCCCTAGAAAGGTTGAGTGGACTTGCAACTAACCCTTTGGCTATTCTAGACCGGCCCCTGGTACATGTCAATAAGAAAGGTCGGCCTGTTTCGCAATGCCAACACTGTCGAGGCTTGCGGAAGTCCCGCTCTCAGCATGTAAAATGCGAGTGCCATGACAAGTCTCATTCAAAGGAAAACTGTCCTCATGAAAAGCAGGAAGGGAAATCTGGTATGTGGACATCTTGTTTTAAAAGAGGTCATGGTTCTGATACCCCTTCCAGAACAGCATACTTGCTGCTGTCAACACGGCTCCCGTTGCAACTGCGCTCTCAAGAAAGACCACCTCGATCCGGTGCCTGAGGATATCTCGCAACTCCTTCAGCCAAAGGATCATGCTAAACATCGCCATAACATGAATTCCCACGACCCCAAGACCACGATATTCACCAACGGTCATCACAAGCCTGTCCACAAGTTCAACGATGCTCACAACCAGCTCGGAGCACCGTATAAGATTCCGTCGCGCTCCAACTCACTTCATGGGCATAGGGAGATCGCCCAACGTTCCACCGACAGCCTTCCGCTGACCAAGTTTGCCAAACCGTTCCACGAATCTCCCCTACATAACTCGATATCTGAGGCTATGCAAATTGTGGAACGAAGAGTCAAGTCGGAGCATAATTCGCCCGTGCTTGGGCCGACAAGGATGGCAGGGCCATCGTCGATACAGGATTTCAAGATACCCAATTTTGATCCCCGGGCATATGCATACTCTCCATTTGGCACGGATACTCCACCAACCCAGCCGAACAGCCTACCAAACAGCCAAAACCCAAGCTTACAAGATCTGACACTCCCAGAACGTTTTCCGGAGAACTGGTTCATGACGTTTGAACAAGCCCATGACTACGAGCCTCCACCGTGGGCGAGGTTAACGGAGGGGTCTTCAACAGACTGGAACAACATCAACCTAGACGGCACTAATAGTCTCTACAGTCTGAAAAATGAAAATTCGCCATATATGTTGTCTCAGCAAGTTGCTTTCCAGGCCTCTGAGTTGACGAGCCAAATAAACAGAGTGGGCATCACGTCCTCGAGCGAAGAGCCTTCCGAGGTCGAGGATCAGTCTCCTCCGTCTGTTGCCAATCCCTGGGGTGCCGATCGAGCCGTGGGAACTGATCGGCAGACTGGTTTGGATGCTTTCAATGATTACAGCAGTGTGGGTGGAGACGATGCCTCTGATCGGTTTCGGCTGAGTTCAGCCTCGTCTTATTTTGGGACTCCTCAAGCGAACATGCTGGCAAATGAAAACATCGGGAGTCTTGATATCGACGATTATTTGAAGCAGGCCGAGGCGGAGACAAAAAGAATGCAATTACAACATCAGTTGGCGCAGATGCAGATGAACCCACAAGACTCCCAAACTCCGTCTCGATTATCGAGTGTCAGTCGGGGTATGACGCCCAGTATCTCTACACCGGGAAGCACTGGGAATGTGGAGCATCCGTACACCATCAGTGAAGCCCAGAGATATGCGCATCCTGATGGAGGATCGAATCTGTCGGTGGACCATCCTAGAGCTGCGATACCACCCTCGTATATGGCAGATGATCCGGCGTGGTCGGTCGCGCCTGACATGACCAATCCGGAATTGAGTCTGAACGATGAACGAGAAGATGAGGACTGGGTTCGGTAGCACCTACCCAAAGAGAAGACGTCTTCTCCCCTTTCCTGCACAAAGACAGAACAATATCCCGGTACCAGACACCTGAAGTTATGATTGACGAAAATGCATTTTACGTACCTCGAATGATACCACGGGCTTTCTGGATAAACCGAAGAATCATATTTTTTTAGTCGGCGAAAGCTCGGGCTGGAGCACCTGGGGCGGAAACCGGTTGAGTTGGGGGTTCCCAGCAGATAATTGGGTGTTATTCTTTTCTGGCAAATGGTGGTCTCTATGCGAAGCGGACTAGGTATCGGGGCCTGCGAAGGAATCCGAGTATGCGCCGCTGTTGTTGTTGTTAAGTCCCACACTGTGTTGCTTGTTTTCCTTCTCCTTTGAGGATGAAGTCGAGTGTGGTTGATTCTTTGCCGGAGCGATAATTGGTTCCATGGTTTGACCAAGGTGCGGCGGGATTTAGACGATTGTTAAGCTTGAGCTGAGATGAAGTGCAATATAGAATAAGCATTCTGGGTTGCTTCAAGCCTCCTGGTAAGGAAGAGATGATCCTTTAGTCCTGAACGTGAAGGGATTTAGACTCTACCAAACCACTTGAGGATACTGTGCCCGTCTAAGCGTATCCATTGGAACTCCCACGTGTAAACAAGGTTTTCATGCCACTCAACGCAACGCCAGGAGTTTGGAGGCTGGATGGCGTCCACAAATATAGGATTGACAACCGTGGACGGAAGAATGATATCCCAAAGCCGATGTTGCCGAAGCCAAGAGTTTTCAGCAGCAGCTAGCGAGATGCTGGGGATTGTGATTGGTTTGACGACATGCGCTAGCATCGGCCATCCTTGCATGATGAATTCACCAGATGATGATTCCCTCCTTTTCGTCGTTCACCGAATTTAGACATTCAGCCTTATTCCTCTGCCCACTCTCAATACGCTGCACTCTGCTGTTCTGCCCAGCGCTTCCTTTGGAGGGTATCGAAACGACTATACCCTATATCGTCGGTGCCTCATTCATACGTCTTGTCTGTCTTTTCCGGGAACCAGTTCAGGCGGACTGATTCAGTGTTGCGAGTGATGACAGTCCAGCAAGGCTGCCAATGAGTCGCGTTCCGACCAAACTCTCTCGGGCATTTTCGTCGTCTCTCTTCATTACCGGTCGTCATTTGGTTGTTGGGAACCCATCTAGAAAGGTCTTGAGTTACAGTCCTAGGTGCCTCGCGGCTTGCCGACAAGGACGCACGGTTTCATCCAACTCTCTGGAGGAGGGGCTTTGTTCCCCCGGTCTACCTGTCACGATGAAACTCTACGCCATTTCAGACCTTCATCTCAGCTACAAGCACAACCGCGAAGCCCTGTACGACCTGAGACCTCACTTGGACGACAGCCTGATTATTTGTGGCGACGTTGGAGAAAAGATTGAGCATCTCCACGAAGCATTCAAGATCACCACGAAACTCTTCAAACAAGTTTTCTGGGTGCCCGGCAACCACGAGCTGTATACGCTGCCGGGCCACAGCAACCGGGGCGAGGGACATGAGGAGGATGCTCTGGACGAGGAACTTCGAGGAGATTTCAAGTATCAGGAATGTATCCGGGTCGCTAATGAGTACGGCGTCATCACGCCGGAGGATGAGTATGTGAAGTGGGAAGGAGAAGGTGGTCCCTGCATTATTTGTCCGTTGTTTACACTCTACGACTACAGTTTCAGGCCTGATGATGTGTCGAGAGAAGACGCCTTGGAATGGGCCATGGAGGAGAACATTGTTGCGACGGACGAGGCACTGCTCCACCCCGATCCGTATCTGTCGCGGGATCTATGGTGCGAGGACCGTGTCGCTAGGGCCGAAGAACGACTGGAGGCGACGTCACAAAGAGGTATCCCTCTGGTGCTGGTCAACCACTGGCCGCTGCGCCAAGACACCATCACAATCCCCTTGATTCCCCGCTTCAGCTTGTGGTGCGGGACCAAGAAGACCGAGGACTGGCACACGCGATTCAACGCCAAAGTGGTGGTGACGGGTCATTTGCACGTTCGCCGGACGGACTGGAGGGATGGCGTCAGATTTGAGGAGGTCAGTTTGGGGTACCCGAAGCAGTGGCAGGTAGCACGGGAGAAGGGGCTGGATGTCAACGACCTGCTAAGGGAGATCTTACCCGCACCAGACATGCAGGATCCTGGTGATGGCAAGACGATTTGGAGAAGGTCTGGAAAACCGTCGACAGATCTTGTTAAGAGCATAAAGGGGCTCGAGTAGAGGGCAGCACGGGGAGATGGGAGACGGGCGATTTGTGATGCTCGTTGCATCAGATCAGCGCTTTGCCTTGTTTCCCGGTCTGTGAGCCACCTGCCTCGTCCCGAAATGCCTATGTTGCATTGCTTCCTTACAACAGACTTGGAAGCTCGCTGTCTTTGGACTCTGGGCGTTTTCATTCAACATACATTTTGAGTTTGAACAGTGTGATAGAGCAGAGAGACGCCTAGACTAGACGTTGCCGCTCATGGATTGGGGGGATTGGGAACACAACTACGACGAGGCGAGCAGAGCAGAGCAGAGCATTGTTTGTGGCTTTTCATCTGTTTGCGTCTTCGTCTGTCAACCTAAATAGGTACTGGGGCCAGGACTCCCTGCTCATCCGCCTGCTGAGCGGCCATGCTCGTATACATATATATGTGACTGCTTTTGCGTTTTGCTTCTCGTTCTCGGGCGGTGTTCGGCGCACCAATCTCATCTCATCTGCTCTTCGCTTTTTTCCCTGTCTCTGCCGTCGTCTGCTCTCGGCTCCGCTCTAGCATGAGCTACGGGAGCGGTGGTTGACTCACTGACTCACTCACTGACTGGTTCGCGAGATCGCTAGATCACTGGTTTCGTTGGTTGGATAGTTGGTCAACATGCTGATTCCTTGACCAAACCATCCATCCATCCATCACTCCTCCCTACCCTCCCTCTTCTTCTGCTCCTACCAAGGAGCAGGAAACGGCCCCTACTTCTTCTTCGCCTGATACTCCTTTTCGGTGACCTCGTCATGCCAGACCGTCTTTCCATGGCTCACGGCGAGATGGAGCATGAACGACCCGTCATCGCCACCGTGCCAGTGCGTCGTGCCGGGGTCGCACCAGACCGTGTCCCCGACAGCCAGGCGGCGCGGCTCGCCGCCCTTGTCGCACACCCAGCCCGCGCCGGCCAGCACGCGCAGCAGCTGGCCCTTTTCGTGCGTGTGCCAGTACGTGCGGGCGCCCGGGGTGAACATGACGTGGTTGATGTTGATGTTGGGCCCCGCGTCGATGTGGATCGGGTCCATCCACACGGTGCCCGTGAAGGTGCCGCTGGCTTGTTTGCTCGAGGCCGAGGCGTTGCGGGACGCGGGGATGATGGTCGATGGCATTGCGAGGTGGTTGTCTAGATCACTAGTGACCAAAGTGTTGTTGGTTGGAGTTGTGGTGGTTTTTGATAATCACTTTGTTGGAGTAACGAGCTGGGACCTTTGTGCCTTTCTGCTCTCTCTCACTCTCTGTCTCTCGTGCAGCGTAATAGGTGCTTCGTGTCTAGATTAGACGAGGTCTTGTATATAGGCAGGGAGGTAATCAAGTAAGTAAGTAACTGCGTGAGTAGATTGGTGAATAGGTAGGTTAGCAGGGTAGGTAGTAGATCATCCCCTCCCTCCTCATGCTCCTCCTCCTCCCCACCTCCACTGCACCTCCATCTCGATATTATTCTTCCTACTACTTCTTTTCTATTGCCCCCCTCAGAATCCCGAACACCGCTCTCTTCGTAAATAACCGGCAATCATCATTCTAGTCTCCAACTCGCTGACCCGAAGCCATCCCTCGACAACAATGGACAATGTTTCACCCTCGGGTCGTGTTGTTCGCGGGCAGTTCTCCGTCGCCCCTCGGGGGAGAAATTGGGGTTACTCTCACTTACACACACACTCTTTCTTTCTGTCAGAGACACATGTACTCGCTCTCAGGGAGGCAGAAAGAGAGAGTCACGCAGACACACACACACACGTATGGACGCGCAGGGAGTGTGTCGGAACAAAACAACGGGCCCCGATATCGCACTTCTAAACCTACGCGGGTATAAAGCGTTGTTCATGGACTATTCTCGCGGTAATATGGACTCGGTACATACATGTTGTATGCCATGTCTCCATTTATACCCCAATTGCACGGGTATATAATTTCCAGTGCACACACACAGCTACCTATACAGATACAGATACATCCATAGTCGTCGTCATCCTCCCAATCTCCAAGTATACACATACCTCCAGACAAACAAACATATCTACATACTGTAGGCTACTAGCAAGGTAGGAAAAGTACGTAGCTACCACCAACCATCTTATCTCATCCGTCATACAATCTCCAAGCACTTTCCCATTTCAGCAACCTCCTCTTCCAGTCTGGTTTAAACCCCTGCCGGGAGACATCTCAGCTTTGCCCGCTTGCGCTCGTGCAGGGGGACGCCACCCTCGTGTGCCCTTGCGTACTGGTGCTTCAGCCGCAGGAACGACTTCCTTTCCTGTTTCCCGTATTCGATGTCTCCTATCACATACTCTCGATGCCCGTGGATGCCCATGCCCTTGGGCGTGACGCGGGGAGGAGAGAGCGAGGGCGAGAGAGAGAGAGAGAGAGAGACAGAGGCTGTCCTTTGAGACTTTAAATGTCCTCCCGGCAGGGAGGGTCTGCGTGGTCGTGATATGTATACTTGTTTAAATCAGCTCAGCTCGCCACGCTGCATTTCCTACCGTATGTGTGACGGGTATATTTATATCATGGATATCGTGCGTCACAACAACCAAAATCTCTCCTGGTCCAAGTGTTCCAAAATACACGCCTTACCTACTCTCTCCCTACGTGACAAACTTCCCAGAGCTGCATAAGTATTACCTGTATCAACCATGACTACCACTCCTCCCCCTCCCGCTTCGGTCCAAACCCACCGAGACCTCGTCCCCATCAACACCTTCACCTCCTCGACGGGCCAGCACGGCTCCCTCATGGTCACGGACATCTACATCCTCCCGGACAAGCTGGACGAGTACGTCCGGCTCGTGACGCCCGTGGTGCGCACCATGCGCGACATGCCCGAGTGCCTGTTCTGCGAAATCTCCCAGGACCCCACGGACGCGGCGCACATTCGGATCCAGCACAGTTGGACCGAGGGGACGGATTGGTTCGTCCGGGTGAGTTTATTGATTTGAATTTGTCGTTTACTCTCGCCCCAAATCCCTCTTTTGCGTGTGTTTGATACCTTTCTCCGTTCCTCTTTTCGGTTTGACGGAAAGAAAAGTGGGGTTATGTTCGCGTTGAGAGCCTAGAGTGAACAAGTGTGGGTAGAAGAATCGAGGTGTCCAAGGGAGAAACAAAAGGAAGAGGATGACGAGGTATGGTTGCAAGTGGTTTGAAGATATGTCATCGTTCATGAAAACATACATGCTCTCCCAAGGCTAACTGCTGTGCGCGGGAACTCTCTTCCCTCGACATTGAAAAACAGGCTTGCGAATCACAGCAGTGGTTTGCCGACTATGTCGAAGGGCTCGCCGGTATCGCGGACATGAGCAGAGGCCGTAGGTTTCACCCCATCGCTGTCCCAAAAACAAACGATGCATAAGGGCAGGCATTCGATCCGTCTCTCTGCTTGTCTACTCCCGTCAGGAGACAGGACTCTCACCATTGCTCTTTTTTCGCTTTTGCTTCGGCTCTTTTCAAGACTGACTTCTGTTGCTCTGTCAGGCAACGTTGCGCACTTCAATCGCATTCCCATCGATTGAGGCCCTAGGAGATGAATATGAAGAACATGCCCGAGTACATAGTGGGAAGTTTTCTCGCCATGGTCCTAGACCATAGGACGTGGATGTCCAAGGGGACGAATTTGGATCGTATGAAGGGCCGGCGAGGCTATCGGGGAGGAAGCAACAGGGAATTGAGTACGTATAGGCATCGTAGGGACAGGATCGCTTTGTCGCTTGTTCTAGGGAGAAGTAGTGTTGATATTGTACTGCGCGTTCCTGGTACTTACTCTTCGTCTCCTCGTCCTTCAGAGCCTCCTCTTGCCATCGCTCAGACCATCGCAGACATTATCCTCCTCTCTCTCACCAGGTCCGTGGTCGCTATTACATCACGCACATTGTTTGTAACACAATTCCCCGTCTAGAGATTTCGATCTTTCGAGGGAGTTTGTTTCCACTGCTTCCGGTGTTCGACTCGACTCGATTTCTCTCCAAAGTAGAAAGGGGTCATCGCGCATTTACAGTAGGTCACGGCCACTGGTCCAGCTTCCCATGGGTGGGAACAATCACCGGACGACCTTTATCATCTGTGCCGCGGGCTATGCCATATCAACAAGTATCTTCCAAACGACTGACGTCTGCTAGTCATTGTCTGTCGCTCTCGCTTTCGTGGTCCTGCTCTTGAAATCATGGTAGAGAAGTGTTATCAGGTCGAATCCACTCTCTTGTGTTCTTTCCACAGAGACCGGCCTGGGTCAACCGTGCTCAACTGTTTAAACTAGAGAACGTGCCGCAAAGGACTCGATGGAGATCGCAGAAGGGTCAGAGGGGCCGGCATTTGCTTGGAGGAATGTTGGTGCATTGAAGAACTGGAGTCCTGCGATTTCAGATTCTGAAATGTAGGATGAGAGGCGTTGGTCACTTCAAGGCGGTTTTCAAAGACCACGATGGGAATACAAATTCGACTTAGGCAAATGCAAGAATCGTGTCAGGGCACCAAGGCCACTAAGGGGACCGTTTCAAGTTGGTCCCAAAGAGGCGGTGAATATGAGAAGAGACGAAACGCAGCCAAAGTCGGCTAGGTTGCTGGAGCACCAACAGTGACAGGAGTCAGAAACTTGATAGGGGCCATTGAGTATCTTCTGTGCAAGCAGCGGTTCCCCGGTCCAGTCTTCGCGGGCTAAACGAGGGCACTACAGACATGACTTGTGGTCCGTCCAACGAAATCTCTCGCCAACGGTGCTTCCGTAAAGCCGTCTGGACAGTTGCCACCGACCCAGAGGAACATCCTCCCGCAGTGAGCACTTAGGAGATCTCGATTCATTGGTGAGAGAGGACCGGACGCGAATATCCACTTCTCCGGTCACTGGTGACTGGCGGCCGGATGTGATTGCACACCAATGGCGAGAGATGAGCCTTCACTTTCCTAAAATGAGGTAGAGCACAGCAACGCGCGTGACACAATGCCAGTAGTGTAGAATGACTTACTCCGTGCTTGATATATGAGATGTATCCCCTCTTCTCTGATGGGGTCGTCTCAACTCCTTAGGTACCCCGGAAGGCTTAAAGGATCGGTGCAAGGTCGAGAACGACGAGCGGTTGCCGGTACAGCCGGTACAGCCATGCAAACCCTTCACGGATGTTTGAAGTCGGACGACATTTCCTGGCTCAACTTACTTTTGGGAGGAATGGACCTTGACGGAGCGGCAGGGATATGGCAGAAAGTACCGGCACCTCAAACCCACAACTGAGACGTAGTGTCTCTCTGGCCACGTTGTACAACAGCAACTCTTGCCGAAGCTTGGTGTGGACTCATTACAGTGTGTGTTGTTCTTCTCTTTCCGACTGTCTCATCCTCCATTGGGACCAGGAGCGCTGTACCCCATGTTGGGCAGCAATGCGTGAGACGGGACACGCAGACGATTGCGATCAGGTGAACATCAAGGAGATCTTGACTAGCTGCGAAGCCAAAGGTGGTCGGCGAGGATTCGAGCAAGTCAAGAGTCCCTATGTGATAAGGAGGGAACAGTTGTGATAGCAGAGACGTGGCGGTCCTGGACGTTGGGCTGCAAGGTTCCAGAGCAAGCCGTTCGGAAGAAGGGGGCGTACACAGGCAGACCGAGAGGCGCACAGGGGGCTGGCTGTGAAGAACTGTACACAGGTGTGCAGACAGGTTGGTTGGGCTCATCCTTCCTAGGGCCAACAAGCTTGGGGCAGTGATCAAGGAACAGACAAAGTTTCGACAGTGAAGCGACAAACCGAAGATGAGGATGCGATGATGAAAGGTCAATGCAGATGTGCGCAGCTGCGCAGGTGCACGGGTTGCTACGATGGTCCCTGGCCGGCGTAATTCCCCCTTTTCCCCTTGTTCTCGGCTGGGCAACTCCGGGATAAACGCCAATTACTCGGTACTCCGAATCCTAACCGTCAAGTGGTCACAGCATCACTTCGAAGATGCAAAGCCAGAGCTATCGCTTCGTTATTGGCTGCTTACCTTGTTTCTGATGAGAGAGCTTCGGCCTGAGGCGCTAATCGATGAGAACCAAGGCTTGAATCTGCCTTGTTATCCACGGCGGCGTTGGTAAAGGCTGCTTCTCTCAACCCAAGCTGTAGGCAGCCACTACTTCTCGCTTTGGGGAGGCTGTTTGTGGGACTCCGTGCCGGGCGGGCATTAATGTCTGATCGACAATGTTTCAGGCATCCATCACCTTTGACGTTGCTGCTCACTGTTGGCATCGCAGACTGAGAGCAGGGCTCAGCGCAGCCTGTGATATTTGTCGGCACTGAGCCTTCTACTCGATATCGATGCGACCAGTCCATCATAAATCGCTCATCGCTCGACCAAAGACAGCACGGATTCTAAGCCTCTGAAGCCCGATTGCAGGCAGTGTCGGGGGCCCTCTCCATTTGCTATTATGGCATCCTTCTGGCGGTGTGCACGTCGACTTGAAGAGAAGAAAATACCCCGTCTGATGATGGAGGTGGAAGGTGACGAGCCAGGCAGTATATATTTCGCCGCTGTTCTTTTGAGGTCACCTTACATTGCAGATCCGACTATCCCTCTCTGAGTCAGTATCAGCATGTCTTTCAAACCTATTTCGAACTGGTCTGGTGCCACATCTGGTGATGATGGACACCTTCATGTTTGTCCGCCCAAAGAGAGCCACAATGCAACTCCACCTCACTCTTCTTCGAACTTGTCGACTCGTCTCTCGGCAGGGTCTGAACCGTCTCCTGAAATCAGAGCCGAGGGTTCGATTGCCTCTGTTGCTACTTCGCAGGAGACACAAGAGAACGAACAACGTCAGAGTGAGCTGATATCCCTTCTGAGACGAAGAGCCCTAACCCCTGACATGGGCAGGAACTTCACCAATGCAAGGAACCCCGTCCAACGACCCTACGAGCCCCCAAACCAGCATGGCCCAGGCAAGAACAAGCAGTGAGGGTGATGAAAGAGCGGATTGGGATTCCCGTCGCGGATCGACCATGACTGATGTTTCCCAACAAGCGAGAGAGCCTAGCCCTCCTTGGCAGCACACTGGCTCTTTTTCACCGAGATCCCCCCTGCTCCGCGGGGTTGGAAGTGTCATGTACTCCCATCCTCCACAGTGCTATGGCTCTTTTGACTCGCTGGAGGGCGAGGACCACCAGCTAAATGGAGACGGAGAACAGGAGGAGAACATTTCGGCGCCATCACATCAAGAGGAACGACCCCGACCACCCTCTCTGAGATGAAGTATGATATTGGGATCTTGCAGAGGAAGTGTGAACCACCACGTCATCGTTTGGTTCTTGGTCTTCCAACCTGCCATTGGCCGTCTTTGCTTGGGTGTCCCTTCTATCTGACGAGTTTGTTGGTTTCTTCTTCTCATCTTGTATTCTTTTGCAAAAGGCTTGTTTGTTGTGTTTTTCCTTTTCTAGAATGCTTCTCCCGAGAGATATTACCCCAAGGCTTGACAGACCCGGAGTGGAGTGGATTGTTTCAGTCACATCACTTGATGAACTCAGGTATCTCATGTATGGTAATTCATTTAGTGTATTAGTTCGTATCAGTCTGTTCTATCTGTTCACCTGTCTCAACCTTTTCTTCATCACGTTTTACCTCCTTCTGAGACGACCGGCGGATGTGATCTCCCACCGTTCCTTTGCATTCGACTCTTCTCGCGGCTCCACTGACTGATTGACTATCCTCAACCCGTACTGCTTGAGCGAAGTTGCTCTGGGTATTCATTCCCCTGAGATCAACACGTGGCTGGCCTATGTACCTGTACAACCACGACACTGTATCCGGGGCGACTTGGACATTGACAACCCCTTCTCGAGGATTCTAACGAGAGTTCGCTTCCGTTCCCAAGCGGTTCCCATCGACAAAATCATGAATGTACTTTCCAAAACGCTCTTGTTCGCGGCCACGGGGCATACGAGGGCATTCCTATTTACACAGTCAAGTGCATCCCAGGACACAAGGACAGTATTAGAAGCGAACGACGACAGAGGTCGATCTTCGAGGGTAGGTACCTCCATAGGTACATAGGTACTCGGTACATATGTAGATAGTTAGCAGGGCTTGGCAGGTGTAAGAATCTCAGAGTGAGAGGAAATGTTAACCGGGACCTGGACCTAGGCCTACGCTGGAGGACCCAAGTGACAATTCGCTTTGATTCAGGCGAGCCAGCATCTGGAACAAAAGAGGTCAATGGTGATGTGGTCTCTCGTTGTAGCATGTGGTGCGATGACTGTTGTGGACTTCAACGTTGTGAGATCGTGCAGACTAGTGTGTTGCAGTGGAGACAACATATCCTTGCCGATCAGATTCGTATCGAGTACCGAGTACTCGTTCATTAGATCCAATGTCCGTCATGTCTACACACCTTCCATAGTT